GCAGAATACACCTAGAGAAAGTAAGATTCACAGTCACCATTCAGGTGTTGCCTTCAAATGGAGCACAGCTGAGTTTAGCAGTTAGCATAAAACTAGCATCAAACACTTAATCTGTGCTATAGTTTCGGTGCAGTTCAACTACGCCAAAAGACACATGTACGTTTAGCTAAGCAGTATGTCCTAGTGATAGTTTGAAACCTCAACAAATATTTTAGTAAAGATTTATTATATCTAGTACACTAACTAATAGGTGTAATTATTGTTTAACTAGCTAAACTGAACAGCAAAGCTAACTGATATAGCCTGAACACATGTTTATAAATCTAAACAAGACAGGCCAAGTGACAACCAGTTAGGTGAGCATTCAGAGATGTTTAGCCCCTTTTCAACTGTATGAGTACTAGCCGAAGATACACATTTTTTTGTTGAACCTGTGGAAGTTGTAACACATACGTTTATTTATTACAGTATTACTGGAGTTTTAATGGTGAAGGTGAATTAACTAACTAGCTGATTTTAAGGTTTGTGTCTTAAAATACACATTTACACATTGACATTGCATTGAAAACCAACCCCTTGTAACTTAAAAACTTGAGAGTCAAATTCTAGCCATACAGGTGTCCTATCACAACAGTGAGTAGTGAAAACGAATTCATCAATAGAGTTGAACTGCAATAGATCTCATTAACAAATTGGTTATAGCCAGGAGGTTAAGGACAGGTACAAGGGTCTGAGCTCTAATTTTTCTCTCATAATTGAACTGAACAAACAATAGTTTACAGTCCCACGTGGGGTTTCTTTGGGAAAACATACACTCAGACATTTATTCTATGACTAATGTTGAATAAGTTACATTTTTTTCAATGTAATCTCAATTCAACACAGCCATATTAATGTTGCCATTTACATATTAATTCAAAGGTATTAATTTGTTTGTGCATTATGTTGATGTGGACTCAATTGCACATTACATATGCAGATCTGTGCTTAAATGGTGAACAATGTGATACTGCTGATTACTGTAGTTTTTTGTGGTGTTCTTAGTGTAGGTGGAGGTGTGTGGGAGAGGCTGCATTTTGTGCATGTAATGAATTCATCCTCTCCAGAGCCAGATTGGTATAATACTGTGCTGCAGTGTTTCACATAAAGAGCAAATGAGGAAGAGATTAGCCTCTCGCTATGAACATTAACTCTCTGCTGAAATGTAACAGTGGAGGCACGTGTGTTTTTAGGTGTGTTTTCGTGCATTTTGACTGAATATTCCCTGACAAAGTGATGATATTGAGTGAAAAGTTGGATTTGAGATTTTCTCAGCAGTAATTTCCCAACTAATTCTTAGCACCTAGTACTTTTGATTTCTGCAAAACAGAGGACTGCTTCACAATCAATTAAATGTTTAATCAGAAAAATATATCAGTGCTGAATATGAGAAAAATTCAAAAGGGGCGCTGGATAGCCTCTTGGTTTTTGTCACGCACCGCATGTGCAGAGGCTACAGTCATCATTGCAGCAGCTGTGGGTTTGATTCCGACAACGGCCCTTTGCTGTATGTCATCCCCTACTCTCTCCTCCCCACAATTCTTTCCTCTCGTCAGCTGTTCTACCCAACAAAGGCAAAATGGCCCAATAGATATCTTAAAAAGCAAAGGAAAATTTTAAAAAGATAATACATTTAGAGGCTATCTTGATTTAAAAAAGAAAATAGCTCTGATGTACATGCTAGTGGCTCAGCAGGCCATCTAAAGATACTGCACATGAACACATTTGTCTGATTCAAATTGGAGACACAAACACACACAAAAACAACCTAAAAGTTTTTAAAAGGGACAGCTACGTACATGGATCAGATAACCCTCCCTGTACATCCATGTGAAAGCCTGTAGAAGTGCAAGTAATGTATTAGAGCAGTGGCACCTTGAGCTAATGGCTAATAATCCTGCTAACATGCTCAAAATGGTGACAATGCTTACATGCTGAAGTTTTGCAGTAACTATTCTTACCCTGTTTACCAGTTTGATTGTAAGAATTTCAACATTTGCTATTTAGCACTCCTAAATCAAGCACAACTATAATACAATACACTATAATAACGATTAATGCTTTTTATTGAATTAAATTGTATATTTAATTGACAGAAAGTTAAAATATCATCTTTTGGACGTGTGATTGAAAACTGCAAAACTGCTTCAACTTTTTAACTTCTGAGTTTGAGAAAATTCTTGGATATAACTTTCATTAATCAGGACAATCCATTGGCATTTGAAGTTTTCAAATAAGACTGAAATGAATAGATGATTATCTTCTATATAATAATTATCATGTAATTAATTTTAATAAATAGTGGAAGATTGTATGAAATAAAACAGAACCAAGATGTATGCCCTGTGGAATCCCATATGAAATCCTTAAAAAAAGTTTTTAGGACTTTACTCCCTTGTCTAACCCAATATCCATATTTATCCAACAACATTGTATGATTCAATGAGTTCAGATACAACTTGTTCCACTCTGCTTCTTAAAGTGTTAGGTTTGATATTGAAAGCTGGAAGGCTACAAAAATGTTGGTTTGCACAACTACTGATTATGTACTGGTATTCTTTCTGCTGTCAAACAATTTAAAAACTCAACAAAGGAAAATGGCCTTTCCGTGTGTAGGGATGATTCATAAGCTACCACAAGCAGACAGAATATTTGCTTTAATTTTGAGGGAGCCTCCACTGAATTGTTGTGCTCAAAGTGCATCCTTGAAGGAGCTGTGCTGCTGCCCGCCTTTGTTGAGGGTGTTTGGTTTGAAGGCTATTTCTACAGACTCCCACTCCTCTGCTCCCGCTTTCTGTCTCAATGTCTCTCGCTGTGTCAACTCTTTGTCTGACTCACTCGCTCACTCATTTGCTCATTCGCTCACTCACTCTGTATGTTTACACGCACGGTAAAACCAAATTACTGCTAATAACCACAGTGAAGTACAACTTTTTGTAGCCTAAACGGCTACACAGAATAAGAGAAAGGCAAAAAGGATTACTTTTTGTGCTGTAACAAAGTCAGCAAAAGTGCTTTTGTATTAATGCTGGTTTAATTTGGGCCAAAGGATTTCTTGTATGAAGCATAAATGAGGGTGCTTTCATTTCAGGTAACATATAAAGTTCAGCAAACTCAGCCTGTGAACACAGTTAGACAGAGGACACTTACAACATACTGTAAGTCCAGCATGCTAATACACTTCCAAAGGCAAATGTTTAGCAGGCATAATAAGTGTGAACATTTTAATTTCCCGTTCTTCCTTTGTTCCCCATGTCAATATACCTTAAAATGACACATATGTTAGATATTATGTTCATAATAGGTTTTTCCCCTGTTTCAAATGTTCAATTATTTTTTTCATGGGTGTTGTTGATAGCCCACAGCTCACTGTCTTTTTCTGTCTGAAGGCCTGCACCCATATATTTTAAGCAAGACAGTTCTGTTGTATATGTTAAAATATCCACAGGGGCTGAACAGATTTTTGCCATATTTCTTGGCAATTTTTAACAGCAAAGACAGCCCTTAATGTTAGCTGTCTTAGTTAAACATGTTGGCATAACGAGGTTAGCAATAAAAACAGAAATAAAGAGAAACTAACATAATCTACCCTAATACATAATTTGTGGTGTTTTCTACGCAGTAAGGCGCTAAGAAATTTTCTTGACACAGAGAGTTTGAGTGAGCCACCAAAAATATATTTTTTTGGAGTTGTTCTCAAAAGTATTTGCTCACATTTGAAGATGAAGATCCCACTGTAGGTCACAATTTAAGAGTGGAAGGGAGGAAGGAAGGAAATAATACATCCTAAAATCCTGTAATGTTTTAAACTGTTTCTACTTGAAACCACAGCAGAGACAGAGTTGTTCACTAAGTTGTTCTGCACATGTTCTCAACTTTTAGAAACAGGTCCTGAACATTTTATTACCAACAGTGAGTCCACTTTGATCAACATTTTCATATTTATCCGCATTAGTGTGTACATGGCATCGCTCATTCACACGCTCATCGGGCCTCTCTCCCCTCCCACTGCTTTTCAGGAGAGATTCTGCGTGGGCTTACACTTGAGTTTCTGCCATGTGCTTTCTACCCCCTGTACGCACACACATATCCCCTCCCCCACACTTCCTAACACTGTCCAAAGATTTTATGAGTTTGTATATTGGTTTGTGTGTGAAACAGAGGGAGAAATCAGGAAAATCAAACCCTGTTAAAATATCACTTTGGAAAATAGCAGTGGTTACTGACCCTCTGATCTGTAAAGCATTACAGGCCACTATCCATTAGCTTGGCTGTAAAGTGTAGCCAAAATGAAAATGCTGGATATTCTGGGAGGGTTTTTTGCAGCACTAGCGTTTCGATGTTATAGCGTTACCTTTTCCTAATTACATAAAAAACAAAAATGCTGCTTTGCAAAGATACTTTCACATGCGATTTCTGGTGCATTTTGGTAAAAGGTTGCCTTTTGGTTGCTCCTGATGCTGTTTTTCAGTGTTTGTGTGTAGGAGGAGGAACATCAATGTGTGCGTGGGCAGATGTGAGTAGAGATGCCTGCCAGGTGTATGTGGCTGTGCATTCTTTGTCTCTCACCACACGAGTCTGGCACCCTAAATGAATTTACTGTACTCCTGCATGTCATCAAATCAGCTTATTATTTGCAATTTTCTTTTGAAGTGACTCATCTTAAAAAAAACTGTCCTTGAGTTACCTCCATTTGTTACCTTTACTTATTTTTTTTTGCTAAATCAGTCTGACACCACTGACAAAAAAACATTTATCTCATGAGAGGAGATGAAGATTTTGTACCCGATTTAGCTGCTAATGGATGTTTTTCTGAACATGTTGGTGCATTGTTGTCTATTTGTAACTCAGATATATTTTTCATTTTCAGGCCGTCATAGGTAAAAGCTATTCATTTACCTGTCTGAAAAAATAACACAATAACAATACCAAGCCTTCGTGTTGTGTGTGTTGTTCATCAGGATCTTGGCCACTGCTGGTGCGCACATGAACATCCCAGTTGACCTTCGTACTCTAAGGGCGGTGCGAGTGCTGAGACCTCTCAAACTTGTATCTGGGATCCCCAGTGAGTCAAATACTAACTTCCAGTCCTGCTCTGTGACTTTAAATATTCTGGTATAATGCTATATACGACAAGTGCTAATTCTCTGGGTTTACTAGGGCATTTTGTTTTTACAAATCCAATCATTTTAATTTGTATATTTGTATTTACAAAATCTGTATACTCGCTGAAATACACTCCTCAAAACACTGAAGTGATACAAAAAGCATTAACTCTTATAATTAAAATGTTCTATCGCTCCAATGTATATGATTAGAATACAAATATTTTTTTTACTTCCCTTTGGAGATTTAAGCATATGTATTATTGCAATACTAGCAGATACATTTTACCATTAAGTATTGTATTTATAGCATATAGATTCTGCTTTGCCCTGCAAGTCCTGACATCTTTGTTTAATAACACATTTGAAAAGATGTTGATACCTAATCTCTGCACTTTATAGTAACTAGTATAGTAACTGCATTATGTTGTGTTCATTTTCAGGCAGTGAATTGTAAAAGCAAAAGTTTTGGCAGAGATCGAGGCTCGGTAACAAGATCTTTTTAATGTCCGAAAAGCTTTCTTGGCTTTTCCAAAGGCAAAACCAGCAGAAAATAAAGTGGCCATTACAAACACATTGGTAGATTTCTACTTTTTTATATACATAATGAGATGTTGTTTTTCTTCACTTTGTGACTTCTCTAAGGCCTGCAGATTGTGCTGAAGTCCATCATGAAGGCCATGATCCCACTGCTCCAGATCGGCCTCCTTTTGTTCTTCGCCATCCTCATGTTCGCCATCATTGGCCTGGAGTTCTACAGCGGGAAACTTCATCATACCTGCTTGCCATCTTATGACATCCTCGGTACAGTCCATGCAAACACACACACACACACACACACACACACACGCACACACACACAAACAAACAAACACATGGCTAACAGTCTCTATCTGTTGTGAAGCAAAGTGGGCGGTCCAGACATCACAAGTGTTATTGTTTTAGATTAATTTGTTTTTTTAAAGTGTGAAAGAGACACAATAGAAACATTTTGGATTGGTTCCTGAGTTAGCGTGAAGGTTTCAGCGCTAAAGGCACGTGACCGAAAACACCTTCTGAAATACTTTATTGCTGTGTTGGTTTATTGGTATATTAAAGCCTCTTTCAGCCTCTTCAACTGCTTGAGAATATGCGGATGTATTTTGGCTTGATTAACTCGCCATCTGTGGGCACCTCCTGTCTTCAGGTCCACCTGCTTTCATCTAACCACCAGGGCCTTGACCTGGTTATTGTCACGTTTTTGTTTTCGTTTCACTATCAGGTATGTGTGTAATACTCAATGTTCTCAACAGCAGCTGCTTTTTTATGAGAACTTGAGGCTTTTGGTAGATTACAGTAACACCAAGCTAATACGTATTATTAGAGATTTTGCTGCTTAATTAGGAACCAACTACTCTGTAATCACAAACCACGCCACGGCACTTACTGTCATCCCCCAGACGATTTCCACCAACTGAAGAGGGCTTGAAAAAACTACAATAAAAGCAGAATGCAGTGACTTTGAAATCATTTGAACCCCATATTTAACTTAAAATAGCTCAGACAACAAATCAAGTGTTGGGACATGATCTTTTTTACCACCCTGTTGCATCACCTCTTCTTTTAACAACATTTTATACCAGTTTGGGAACTAAAAGGGCCAGTTCCTGAAATTTTGACAAATTCAATGTTTTACCTTTCATGCTTGATGTATGATTTCAGCTGCTCAATAGTTTAGGGTCTCCTTTGATGTATTTTATGCTTTGCAATGCTTCAAACATTCCCAATGTGTGACAAGTCAGGACTGCAGAAGGCCAGTTTATTATCTGGACTCTTTTACTACTCTTTTAAGAAAGACCTTGCCTTACAAAAAATTGCTTTATTTGCCAGCACATTTCCCTTCAAACCCTGTATGCGTGGTTCAGCATAATAAAGCTTTCACAAATTTGAAGGTTACCCATGACGTGTGCATTAATGCATCCCCATGCCATCATGCCGGGCATTATTTCTGAACAGGATGTCAAATTTTCACTCGTGACCACGGGACAGTTTTTTTCTCTCCAACTCGGTCCATTTTTATTTATTTATTTATTCCATCTCTGTAAATGGTAGAGTTTCAGTTTAACACACTGTGTTCACAGAAATCAGTTTTAGAAGTGTTCTTGTGCCCATGCAGTGATGTCCACAAAAGAATTGTCTCTGCCATCTGATGGCCCCGAAGATCACGGCCCCTCTATATTGGTTGTTGGTTTATTTAGATGATCTGAATCTATGAATGACATTTTGTGTAGACCATTGAATACACAGATTCTTTATAATTTGACATTGATCAACATTTTCTTGAATTGTCACACTATTTGCCGGCACAGTATTTCATTGAGTGGTTAACCCCTCCACACCCTTACTTCAGTTACACTCTCTCGGGTGCTCTTATTATGTTACTAACCTGTTTTTAGTCAACCTAACTAACTGGACGTTGTTCAATCAGTTGTTTTCTTTCAGCATTTCTCACCTTTTTCAGTTTCTTGTTGCCACTGTCCCAACTTTTTGAAAAGGTTTTGCAGCAAATTTTCAAAGTACACATACTTTCCTAAAACACTGAAATGTCTTAGTTTCATGAGTTTATTAAGGTGTCTTAGTGCTATTTACAATCAATTATAGGAATCATCACATTCTGTTTTCAGCATTAATTCAAAAACAGAGAATATTTTCCCTCTTGAGCAGATTAAAGTCAACACAGTGACCTGTAAAGCCCTTACAAACTCTGCACATAAATCAATCTGCACAGTGCAGCTAATAATCAGCGATATATGAATGACTGTAAAATATGGTAGCCATCTGCACAGAAAGCATGATGTGACAACAATAAAATAAATAATCAGAGACTAAAATGTGGTGCAGAATTGATGTGATTGACACATTCATTTGTGGTTTGCCAAAAAACACAGGGGTAAGAACACAGGTTATGGTGATAAATGGGCAAAATATCACAGATGGTTTTGAGGAAAAAGGACACAAAAAGAATTTGAGATGTTGTATAGTATTTGCATTTAAACCAAATGCAATTCACAGCTTGTTGTACAGATTTTGTGTATTAAATTAACTATATTAATTCTGCTTTCTTCCCTTCTGCCCAGACTAAACAATCAATGTCTATTAGTGAGGACCATCAGGGTAACCATATGCTTCTTTTTTTTTAATAGACAATGAGACTGTGGACTCGTCCGAGTTGGCGTTTGCCTGTGGGGTGAGGAAATGTCCAGAGAATTATGACTGCAACGACACCTGGATCGGACCCAACGATGGCATCACGCAGTTCGACAACATCTTGTTTGCTGTACTCACCGTTTTCCAGTGTATAACCATGGAGGGATGGACGGCTGTTCTGTACAATGTGAGCTCTGTGAAACGGCAAAAACGTCACAAGGACCCGTTATTTGTGTAATAATGACTGATTGTTGTGGCTTTTCAGACAAACGATGCCTTGGGTCCCACATGGAACTGGATTTACTTCATCCCTCTCATCATTATCGGCTCGTTCTTTGTGTTGAACTTGGTTTTGGGTGTGCTGTCTGGGTGAGTCTGACTCTTCCTGTGTGTTTGTAACATCGATGCGTCTGTCTGTATAATGCATCATGACAACAGTTTGTAACGCTTCCCCTCTTCAGAGAGTTTGCTAAGGAGAGGGAGCGGGTGGAGAACAGGCGCGCCTTCATGAAGCTTCGCCGCCAGCAACAGGTGGAGCGAGAACTGAACGGCTACAGAGCCTGGATAGACAGGGCAGGTACTGAGCAGCACAACAACTTACCTCTGCAGACACACACTTTGGTTCAGTTGTGTATGAATAGACAGCTGCGTAGAGACTGAGAGTGAGACATTGAGCAGCGTTTTTTTGTTTAACACTTAAAAGTGCTGATTCAGTGATACAGGAGAGTTGCTCTTACAACTTTTCTAGTCACCTAAACTACATCTAAATGAACCTCATGAGCAGATCTGTTAGTTTGCTTTGATGCTTTGGAATTCATGTGATTGGTTACTTATTGACTTACCTGTTGAATCAAAGCTGTCTGACAAGCATAATAATGTTGAGGTCATGCTGAAATAATCAAAAAGCAATTTGGATTATTAATGCAACTGAAATACAAACATGTATAAGCTTACAGTATGTGGTTTGCTTTGTCATTTTTCACTGACTTTAGCAGCTATTTTGTAAATGGTAAAAAGCAGAAGAAGTTATTGATTTGATGTGGCTGTAGAAAATAGAATGCTTAGGATTACACTCAGATTTCTTGCTTGACTCATAGCTATAAGAGAGAGAGACTCACTAAGAACTGACACTCTGTCTGTCTTTTGTTGGCCCTAAGACAATAATGTCAGTCTTGTCTCTGTTAAGTTGGAGCAGATCTTGCAGTGTCCTGTCATTGATTTGCTCAATACAGTGACAGAGATTATACAGGTCCATGATCTCCTGGTGTATGTGACATGTATATTTTCTTATCATCTGAGTAATAATGGAAGGCTATTTTGTTAAATGGTAAATGGTAAATGGACTTGAGCTTGTCTTCAGACTACTCAAAGTAGTTGTACACCGCATGTCACCTACCTTTTCACATCCATTCACATCCATTCACACACTGATGGCAGAGGTTGCTATGCAAAGTGACCATTACTAGTAACTAGCCTCATTCATACACATTCATACGGCGACGACGAAAGCAGCAGGAGCAATCGGGGTTAAGTGTCTTTCCCAATGACATATCGGACATGTTGCTGCAGGTGCTTGGGATCTAACCCCCGACCTTCCAGTTGAGAGATAAAGGACACTACGGACTGAGCTACAGCCGCTCCATTTTGTATGATTTGGCCCAACGGAAGAGAACTAATATAACTACCTGTTGAATGAGTTAAAACAGTCCTTTCAAAAGACAAAAAAATAGTGTATTTCCAAACAGGTTCAACTATTCCTTTAAAGTTTGACATGTTTTCAGCGTTTCAGTGCCGTAATATTACAATCATTTAGCAGCTAAATACGCAGTCTTTTTTTACAGATGATTTTCTGAAGTGATCGCTCTGCTGCAGACACTTTCTGAGTTTTTTTGGACCTACAGAAGAGTGGCACACACACACACACACACATACACACGGTGCTGTAATGGCAATCTACATCGCTTGTCTCCCACGCAATAGAGGGTAAGGAAAAGGTGATACTGACTCACTGACTTTTAAATTTGTGTGCCTGTTCATATTTGCACACGCGTGTGTGTCTATGTATGTGTGTGTTTGTAGGTAGGTACTTGTGTATGTGAGAGAGCTGCAGTGCATATTTCTGTGTGCATGGATGTGGGTGAGTGTGGGAAGAGGAAGAGAGAAAAAAGAGCGATAGTGGGATATTGGGCGAGCGTAAGAGAGAATAAGAGCTCTCTCTAACGAAGGTCACACCGGTCGTTTAAAGCACTCGTTTACATCGGCTTGGCCTCAGTTCCTGTGAATGTTTGCAGACATCCTAAAGAATTCAAGCCTTCCATACGTAATATTTGCATGTCGGATGGTTGAAACTGAAAGCAAATAAGTATATATAACCTCCAGTTTTGTTGTATTACAGAGGAGGTGATGCTGGCAGAGGAGAATAAAAGCTCAGGGAGATCGCCGTTAGATGGTGAGTTCACTGACTCTACACCTAGTCCCCCAAATGACACATTGATCAGTGATTATCACATAATATATCAAATGTGGAAACATGTCTAACCTTGTTCAGGTCATCCGTTTAACCACCTCTGTTCTCTGAGTGATTTTGCAAGCTGCAGGTAACCATAGCAACAATACCAATGCTTGATTTAATATTACCAATTCAGTCTCACTTGGAAAAATAAAGCCCCTTTTCAGACAAGAACGATGTTACATAAACATGTTTGCAGTTTAACATGTTGGTCTCATGAGTCACTTTTACATAAAAAAATCACATCATCAATCTGACAAGGATGGATTCACACCGTGTTTTGTCATATAAATAGCACTGAGGTACATTCTTCAGTTAAATAGCCACATATCTTTGCAGGCGATGGAATTGGCTTCATAAGAATTCAAATCAGCCTATTTTTAGTTGATAGTGTGAAGTTTGAGATACAAGCTTGTATAATCAAATGACAAATTTAAGAGTTTGACTAACCACAGACTCAGCCTCTCTATGCTACACTGGCTGTGGTGGTAGCATGCTAAATCCTGGCATTGTGAATCAAATGTGAATGTATCATGTATGCTCTGTGTAAATGAATGAATGAAATGGACAAAGCATATTAAACACCATTCAATTAAAAAAAAACTTGATTTGTCCCTGGGGGCAATTCAAAAGGCCCATAGAGCAGTAGCATGAAAAACTAAACTGGAACAGCAAAGACTATGGAGCCCCAGAAGTCCCAAAGTTTCCTTTTTTTTTTTAAATGATGCCCACAATATAATGATCTTGTGTAAACAAATGTGTAAATAGCCATAAGTGCAAGTAAACAATACTGAGTGAGTAAAGTGATGATAGTGCAATGTAGAACAACGGTACAAACAGGAATAAATATGTAAACAAAGCTGTATGGAAGTTAACAAATACTGACTTAGTAAATGATCATCAGTATTAGCTTTATTGGCCAGGTATGCTTACACACACAGTTTGACTTCGGCTAACTGTGCTCTCTCTATGTACAAAAAGTATGACATTAAATATCAACAATAAACACAAAATAAGCTGAGAATAAAATGTAGAAGACTAAATGAGACACTAGTGCAATGGTGGGTAGTGCAATGAGGAACAGAATATAACAGAATAAATTCAAAGAATAAAGTGAAATAATACAAGCAGAAGGCAGATAAGGTTATTTTTGATGATGAGGTAGGTACACGTGGTGAGTCAACATTCAAACAGATGTAAATAGTGTTGAATTAAGTAGTTTTTATCATCAGTCCCTTTACCAGATGCTATGTTTAAGATAATAACGGATGTGCACAGCAGTTAAACACATACTCCATTAAAAAAAACGCAACACAGTTAAACATCAGCATGAGCAGACAGAGTCTAAAGAACAGATGATTAAAAAAGGCTTATATCATATCATAAACTAAATATAATCACTGTTGACAAAACAGCTTTAATTAACCAGACCTTCAGTTCACAAGAGTGATCACTTTCTGTGCTGTAAGTATTTCAGTTATAAAGAAATTCTAAGTTTGAATGGCCTGAGCATTTTTGTGAAACATTTCAGTGCTGAAGAGAGCGAGTAAGAAGACGGGAGCACGGAGAGGAGCCCCCGGGGACCCAAAGGTTACAGACGCGTCTACTGCCAGTGAGTGAAGATCTTTACATTTTCTGTCTGCTCAGGTATTGAGCCTTTTTAAGAAGGCTTTACAGTAACTCACTTTGTGTGTATCTCACCTTTATTTCACCTCTTCCTCTCCCTCCGGCCTTCTTTCTCTCTGCACTGATTCTCACATTTTCTCTCTCAGGTATGTCTCGATCCAGGATGAACTTCCGCAGCGGCCGACGCGGCCCCGCCGCCTACCTGAGGCGTAAAGAGCGAATGTTACGCATCTCCATCCGCCGCATGGTGAAGACCGACACTTTCTACCTGATGGTGCTCAGTCTTGTGGCTCTCAACACCATCTGTGTGGCCATTGTCCACCACAACCAGCCCAACTGGCTGACCATCTTCCTCTGTGGGTTTCACTTTTGAATATTCTATGATTAAGTACTTCAGTTTGAGAACATTTCAGGTCACATCTGATGAAGTCACAGTTTTATGTGTAGACAGCTGCCTTCTTAGACTTTTGTTTAATTGGTTTTTCTTTGTTTTCTCATCTCCAGACTATGCAGAGTTTGTTTTCCTGGGGCTGTTTTTGGCTGAGATGTTTTTGAAAATGTATGGTCTGGGTTTTCGGCTCTACTTTCACTCATCTTTTAACTGCTTCGACTGTGGGGTGAGGTCCTTTATCTCCTATTCTGACTTTATATTACACACTCAAAACACCTGTGTTTAATATAACAAAAGGAAAATGGTCAAATCCTTGTGCAAAATGATGCTTTGGTTCAACAGCATGTATGTACATATTAATCCATTGGTAAACCAAAACATAGACACATTCATTTTAACATGTCACTACAAGATACACAAATACTGTATCCAATTCTATCAAGTGGAAGGAAAAATTAGTTTCAACATGTTGTTACATTGTACATACTACCTTTATACTATAGTATAATTTTTGTCAATGCGACTGATACAAGTTAACAGAAAATAAAAAAGCGTATCTTAGGGCGCGGTCACACTGGCCATCTGTACTGTGCCGTACTCAAGCACGATTTGCCCCCCGCTGCGCCATTCCCACGCTGGCCGACACGGCCCGCGGTCACACTACACAGGACTATCCATGCTTAAGCATGATTACCTCCGTGGCTGCACATCGGAGAACAACACAGAGAACATGGCAGCTACTTTGTGGCTTACATTGAGTCATTTTAGTCAGATACAGCCATGAAACTCCGGATTTCTCCATAATGAAGGCTGTCAGCGTTGTGTACCTGCGTGCATGAAGTGTACTGTGCCGAAGCACACCGCTCCGAAGTGTGCCAAAGCCAAGGAAGTGTACCGTGCCTCATTCACTTCAGATAAAAATAGGTTGGGCTGCTTATCAATCAGACAATCTTTGGCAATCTTTGTTTGTATAGTTCCAATTCATAACAAGTTTTATCGCAAGACATTTTGCAAAAGAGCAGGTCAAAGACCTTGCTCTTTGTTATCTTATTTACAAAGACCCAACTTTAATCCATCATGAGCGCTAAGCGACATTCAGCAAAGTTACAGTGAAAAAGATAAACATCCTTTAAGAGGTAGACACCTTGAGGAAAACCAGACTCATGTTGAACAACCATCTACCCAAACTGTGTTGTGCTTGGAAAGTGGGATAGCGTGAGATGCAGAAGAAGAAGACTGTCAAATGGACCCATTGGGAAGTTAATATTTGTTTTTCTTTTTTGGTTACAGGTCATTGTAGGCAGCATCTTTGAGGTAGTTTGGGGTTTCTTCAGGCCTGGCATGTCGTTTGGGATCAGTGTACTGAGGGCACTGAGACTCCTGAGAATTTTCAAGATCACAAAGTGAGTCGGACAATGAAAAAAGGCCCTCTTTGTCTGTATATCTGTGGGTATATATTTTCCAGCTGTGTTTAAAAAAAAAGATAAAAAGTCTGTGATTTCTCTCCATCAGATACTGGGCATCTCTCAGGAACTTGGTTGTGTCCCTTATGAGCTCCATGAAGTCCATCATCAGCCTGCTGTTTCTTCTCTTCCTCTTCATCGTTGTGTTCGCTCTACTCGGGATGCAGCTTTTTGGTGGAAGGTGAGTGTAACCCTCAGGATGTAAATACTGAAATCTTCAATTCTCAAGGGACAGCTTTCTTTTGTCATTCATATATTATTGTAACCTACATATGATCAAACCAGTCTTTGAATTGCCTACAACACCCTACAAACGGAACCGCAACGGTGTGTATGATGAAGAGGAGAGGAAATGATATGTCCGGATGAAAATAGATCTGCATCCTCCTCCTCCTCTGCTTCCTCCTCCTCTTCCTATTCTTCCATGGTCATATCTGACCCTGCTTTCTATCTGCCTCCCCTCTAGGTTCATCTTTGAAGATTACACTCCCACCAACTTTGACACATTTCCAGCTGCCATCATGACAGTGTTTCAGGTTTGGCTCCCACAGATCCCCTCGTTCTGCCTGCTCTCCATGACACATTGCACCCTGGGATATTTCTCACCCCAGGCACAGATTAAACAACTCTGCTCACTCGCTCTCTACCCCCCCTGCCTCTGCTATCATCCCACACATCCGTGCACACATATGGGCACATGAATATCAGACAAGTGAAACGTGAACAAATCCACATCAGATCTGCTACAAAACCAGCCCCACTGTGAAGGACTGTTTTGATCAGCAGACATAGTAATGACTTATCCTGCTGCCATTTTTAAAGCCTATCTGTAACTGGTTTGCATGCAGGGAATATGTCTTCTCTTCCATGTGATATAAAGGCACTTTTCTCAAATCATGTACATGCACTGTAATTATCTATACTTAATATTCTCCTTGTTTGCTTGCAGATTTTGACCGGCGAGGACTGGAATGAGGTGATGTATAATGGGATCCGATCCCAGGGTGGAGTGCAGTATGGCATGTGGTCGTCCATCTACTTCATAGTGCTCACCCTGTTTGGAAACTGTATCCTTATTGACTTTGTAATAGTTGTTAGAAAGCTCTAATATGGCTTCTTCTCTTCACCTGTACAAAATTCAGTGGTAGAAGAAGAACTGAAAAGGTATTGGCCTAACTGCCTAACTGCAGTGGTTTTACAGTGGAGGAACACTACATGATAAGAAAGAGTGGTGTATAGAAATGTTTACCTAATTGAAAGTGTAGAGCCCCTTACAGAAAAAGGCTCTGTTAAAATAGAAGTCCGCAGAATGTCAGCAGAATGGCCCTTCCATAAAAACTTGATAATCCAGTATTGGTGGACTTTTGTTGTTGCATACATTTAATTTAAGGCTAATGTTTTTACTTTAATTTAAAAGTAATGTTTAATCTTTCATTCAAAATTATTAAGCCTATGTTCTAATCTAAGCTTTCCAGTTGCTTGCTTCTTATAAAAGCCAGCCAGATATTAAAGTTGTAGCTTCCAATTGGCAGAAAATTGCAGTAAAGCAGAAGGAATCACCTTCCAGAGATATGTACAAATATATGCCAAATGAAATGCTGTACTTTTGGCAATTTAACTGTAAATATTTCTCCGTCATTAATGCAGTTTCTGCCTTCATCTTCCACAAATTGAAAGCAGGTCATCACACTTTTTAACCTCCTCTCGGCATTAGTTTAAAATACATACAATAGTGTTTACCTGTTTTCACTATCTTTTCCATGAATTTGACATACACTTGCATAACTATACAATACATGTAGTGGGGTATAAAATGAAAGTAACTGAAGTTGGATATTTATAAGCTGCAAATGTAATTATTTTACAGACCATACTTATATCTACCACTATATTTCCATCGATTATAATACAGGTCAGATGCAAAGTGAAATGGACATTTACTGAAATAGATAAGCAATAAAAATTGTAATAGGAGGATATTCAGTTAACGTCAAATAAACCAAATGAATGTTTTAATGAGCAACTCTGAAACACAAAATAGGGTCCTCCACACTTGGATTATGTGACTACACTTACACTACACTACACCCGGAGTTTCTGGTTGAAGCCTCATAAAATAATAAGAGGGAAGATTTAATTTAGATGATTTTTTTTCATACATCTACACACAATATGGATTTCTTTAAGGGAGCTGGGAGTACAAACACTGATAGGTTCCTACAGGTGTGTTTGTTTTTAACCGTCTTCATGACAGACACTCTGCTGAACGTCTTCTTGGCCATCGCTGTGGATAACCTCGCCAACGCACAGGAACTGACAAAGGTTTGTACTATTTTTTACCTCCGTATTGGCAGTGAACCAATGGTTTTTATAAATATAGTACACACCTTTAGGGATGTATATCACAAGTGTAAAATATAACAGATTTAGGTTCATTTCTTGGTGTTACAATCAATATACATTTAATGTGTATTATTTTATATTTTTTTTATCAGGATGAAGAGGAGGAGGAAGCGTTTTTCAACCAGAGATATGCCAGAGGCAGAGACGGCCTGATATCTGAGTAAGTCATTGCCGCCAACAGCAAACAAAACTTCTGTTCTAGTATGTGATTAGCACTCACGGCTCTTAGTCCGAAGCTCTAAATCATCAGCGTACGACTGATTCTCAGATAAGATCTCATCTTAAGCAAAGCTGAATAGTGTCACGATTCTTTGAAGAGTTTTGTCTCTCGCAGCAGTTACTGGTCGCCCTTCTTAAGATTTAGTAAGGATGCTTTTGGATGACAGGTGGTAAACCTAATGCTACTTTTTATTGATGATGATATGTTAAAAATCAAGAGGGTCTAGCTCCCAAGATCAATATTTCCAAAAGAAAGGTGTTGATAATGAACTCTCTGAGAACCAGTTTCTTCTGTTGCATGGGGAATGCCAAGTTACACAGGCATGTTAAAGGCATTTATGATTGAATGTTAATTGGATGTGCCTGATTTAAAAGCATGACCCCTTACTTTAAAGCTATTTATATAACTGCTTGTCTCTCAATAAAATGAGGATGAGGGCAGATGGTATTTTTCAAAGATTGTTGTGAACAGCAGGAAGTTTCACTCTACCAAGGGGGAGGGATATTTTGAGCATGCAGATTGTGACCAAGTTTCCATTCTTTTCTTTTCTTTTTTACCAATCTATTTAATCCCTGTGACAATAGAGTTACAGTTGAGAGTATACAACTACTGAAGTACATGACCCATCAGGGGAAATACTAATTTACCAGATTTCTAAAACAGCTATCACTAAAGAGACATGTAGTATACTGCAGGGACACATGGAGTTTCTCATTTAGAGCACCAGCTTGACTTGATTAGGACTACATTCATTTTTATGCATGTTTTTACACCATTTACTACAAACTTATTTAGGTAATACCATCAACAGTGAGATTTCCCACATTATATTATATATTCTCTATGCAGTAGCTACAGATCAAAACATGAACAGTGAAATGGCTATGCTGTATTATCAGTAATAGTAAAAACAGACACACTTTCAGGTAGTGCATAAACAGGGGAATAATCAATGAGAGGCAACTGCACACACTCTGTCTCTGTTGAGGTGACACTGAGTGTATCATTTGTCTGTTACATATTTGAATGTTAGTCTTGTGTGTGTTGCAGCTTTTAAGATGCAGATTTAAATGTGTTTAATTGTGTTTGCTGGTTCCATCACATTGTCTTGTTTTTATGACTGTTTAGTGACGTTGAACAAAATGTAATGTGAATTACTGTCGATTTGGAATCAATTTGATCCGCAACCTTTGACATTGAATATAGAACAAGAAATAATATGAATGTCCATAAAACTGAAAACTTCTTTTAATAAGAATATCTGCAGTATTCATCCTCAAGCAATTGTTACAGTTCCATGAAACTCTGGATGACTTCAGTTTTGGTCCCCTTCACATATTTTGTTCTGTGTCACAGCAAATGTTCTGTGTATGTTGTACAACACTAATGTCTTGTTTTCAAATAATCACTCATTGATTACATGGACGACAAAAGAATCTGAACACCAGTAAGTATAATTGTATGCATCCCTGTCTCACAGAACTCCCCCCTTTAATTCTCTCACTAGATTATCAAGATTATTTTCTAGATGTTACACTATGTTTGTACTTTGATCCCCTGCACCTTGGCCTTTTTGTTTTTGTGGGTTTTTTTTGTTTTTCTCTTTGCTTTTGATCTGTCCTCACCTTTCAGGTAACTTATTTTTTTTCAGTTTTTGGATGTTTTTTTTTAGCTTGGAATATTTTGCACATTTTTCCATGGGAATTTTATTTATGTTACTAATTAACTAACATTAAAAATTCACAGAAAAGGTTTTTTCCTTTTCTTGCAACTTTTTCTTTTTTCTTTATACTTTTCTATTTAACTGGTATGCTAAATTCACACAGTCTTGATGTTTCTTGTGACCATTTCCATAAATTTGGCCCTGTTTCTGTTCTATGATGACGTGAGATAAATTATGGTCCTTAGTGGGAGGAGAAGACCCTACCTATACAGGAAACGAGCTATCCATCGAGGCCGGCCAAACTTCCCAGAGGAGGCTGATGGTCCTCCAGGAGCCGCCGATGAACAGCCCCTCAATGGAGCAAAACCTTTTTCCAACCGCCGTGATAGGAGGAGGAAGGTCAACATGTCTGTGTGGGAGCAGAGAGCCAACCAGCTACGCAAACGTCGCCAGATGGCGAGCAGAGAGGAGCTGTTTAGCAGCCCTACAGAGGAAACCGCTGAAACCCCTACCATCGCCCACAACACCAACACCATCTCCGATGAGGCCAGCCCTGCTCACCTGCCTGAATCCCCCATGTCTGTGGGGATGCCCCTCCCGGAGCCCCCCATGTCCATCTCCATCCCCATGCCGGAGCCTCCAACAGCTGAGCCTCTGGTCAACCTGAGCGAGGAGAAAACAGGAGGAGGAAACCACCGAGCTGCTGGCGGGGGCAGACACAGGATGGGCCGCAAGTTCAGACCCAGTCAGGGTCCAGAGGAAGGGGCGCGACACAGACGACACCGTCACAGAGAAGCTCGACCAGAAGCAAAGAGTCTGGACTGTTCTCAGACGCCACATGAGGTGCTTCAAGTGAGACGGTCGCTCAGCCAGGAGAGGAAGATACTGGATGAGACGGAGGAGAAGGAGGAAAAGGTGGAGGCAGAAGGAGGGTTGGCCCAAGATGACTGTGGAACAACTATCATCAATCCGTACGCAGAAGTTGGAGAAGATATGAGGCAAGTCTGTTTTCATTTCAGATTATAAGGTTCTCGTGAACCAAAGCATATTTTTTCCTTTTTATTATATATCAAGTCCTTTTTCTTGTATGTAATTATATAGTGGAGACCATTTTAAATGAAATGTCTCTAGAAATGTCTCTATTTTATTGTCCATGAGAGAGCACCTTCTCTCTTCTTTTTTATAGCACATATTCACTTGTTTTAAACGTTCATTTAATGCATTGTCCACATTCACACAGAAGTCATTAATAGCTGCCGTTATCATTTAACCTGTCTATCCTGAATGAGATGAAATCCCCTCTATTTCGGTAAGGGAGATAAAAACCAAAGTCTACTGTCATGCAAAATCCAACCCTACAACTGCATTACATAAGGCTTTAGAAATTTAGACAAATTACCTAATCAATAGTAGACACACCCTCACCTGTTTTTTATTTTACACATGTAAATGTTAGAGAGAGGGAAATTACCAAAAAAGAATACGTTCTTTTTGAAAACATGTATCCTACCTTCCCTTTGTCTAACTGCTGTTCTAAAATAATCGAGCAATTTCTAAGAATAAAAAGCGAGACTAAAATCATCCATAACCATGCCTTAGTCTCTACTAGGATAAACGGTGTCACATAGAGCTCAGCGCTAACAAAAGGCTAACGTGCTTGTGAACATGCAGACCAGTAGATGTGCGGCAGTTTAATAAGTTCCCATGTGTTCACCATGCGATTTAAGTATGCTAGCTTGCCAACAGGTGTTTGACACTAAGTTCAAAGTCAGGCTGCTCATTGCTAACAATACAGTGCTAACATTCTTGTAACAAACACACAGATATGCAGAAGGGTTTATATTTCTCAAATGTTCAGTGTCACTTTCACGTGCTAGCTGACACTAAATGCGAAGTAAAGTTGCATACATAGAGTTCAATGCTAACAGTTCAATGCTAGCAGTTCAATGCTGACAGTAAGCTACAGCATAAACCTAATAGGCTATACATCAGGGTTCTTGCTTATGCTAGTGGCAATGCTAACACTTTGATGATAGTAGGGCTTGTTCACCACATCATTTCAGTGTGTTAGCATGCTATCATGTGCTAATTACTATTAACTGCGAAGTTAAGCAAAGGATTTAGAGAATGCCATTTATTTCAGAATTGAATTGTGACCTGACAATGATGCAAGTAAGAGGTCATAAAAGTTATAGTTAATAATTATTAGGAGGACATGAAAATCTGTCCAAAATGTTTTCAGTTCATCTAATGGCTGTTGAGACATTTCATTCAAAAGTGGGCTAAAGTGGAAAACCAACGATTTATTATATTAGATTATAAGGTAGGATCCTCTCTCAAGGGGACATCCATTGACATGTCAGACATAAAGCACTTTCTATCGCAACTGATTAATGCTTTTCTTCCCTGTTTCAGATCTGTTGTACCTGGTGGCGACATCCCCGACCCTCCTCAGTGTGAACAGCTGCTAGACTGTTCCTGGTCTGAGCAGGGCGAAGGCAGACACCCAGACCAGTACCAGTCCCTTTGCCAGAACATGCCCGTGGAGTCTGCCTTGGAGGCTACAGAGTACACTGTGAGGACCACCGAGTCAGGGAGCCGCCCCGTCTCCATCAAACGAAACAAGTCTAACCTGGAGGGAAGTGTGGCCATTGAAATGTCTGCACAGCCTCTGCTGGAACTCACCCCCATGACAGGTAGCACTGAAATCACTCTGAATGCAGTCACACTGTTCTACTAAGCATCATCAAGTGGGATTAAGCACCAGTATCACTCTTTCAACATGTGTAGGTGTTTCTGACATCTGATAGGAGTGCCACACTTGAAGAATTATTTTGATTATTCCATTGTACTGGTGAATCACATTGTTCTCTCTTTGTCATAGCAGTCCCTGCACTGCTAAAACATTTACTTCTCCTTACTCCAATCAATGTCTGTGTTTCAGTGAACAATAAAGAGTTGGAGGCATACAACTCCGACCAGGATGACGACGACGACGACGACGACGACGAAACAGACGAAGAGGAGGAGGAGGAACCTCCACTTCCTCCCAAACATGTAGCGCCAGACAGCATGTTCATCTTCAAAGCCTCCAACCCGTAAGATGCTGCAAAATCTGCTCAACGATTCAATGTCAAGGAACATACAGAGGTATTTGCATCTCTGTTAACATCTGTCTCTGTGTTGATCTGCAGTATCAGGAGGATATGTCACTATGTGGTCACGATGCGTTACTTTGAGATGACCATCCTACTTGTGATTGTGGCGAGCAGCATCGCACTGGCTGCTGAGGACCCTGTGTGCACCAATTCAGACAGAAACAAGGTGAGATCACAGCACATATTTTATTTTGGTTGCATTTAGAAATGTAGGATGAATGCGTTTAAAGTATCCATTTACCAGCTTATAAATGATATGAGGCTATGACGGTATGGTAAAGATGGATGATAAATTACGGGCAGGGGCAGCTCAAAATAAAAAAGGTAATACAACATGTTGACTACGTCTGCAGGCAAAGTGGTTTATAGCTGTTCCCAACAGCAACAGTCTAAGGCAGCGTGAAAATTAATCCTCAATTGTAAGGCGGAATTTGCTCATTTTTTAAATGTGAACAACTGAGCTCACTTGTGTTGTGTCCAAAATCGGAAGTAGGGTTTTTTCCAAGTTATTTTTTACATACAATGTTCATAACAAAAAAAACAGTACAAGTTATGTTACAACTGACAAATAAAATCTTAATAGCTTTTAAAAAAGAAAACAAGAAAATATGTTCAAAAGATACAATAAGATAATTCTAAAGACAAACCTTCTAAGAAATATAATTCTTGAAATTGTAGCCTCAGGTTTACTGTTTGATCCCTAGTTGATGTAACACTCTCTCAGTAACAATGTGTCGTGACACATTTGGTTTCATGCACATCAAAGGTGACAATCAGCAGCTTTGACTGGGACGTAGCTGTGCAAATTGCTTTTCACAGTTGTTGTTTTTTTTGTCTTGTTTTGACAACTCAGCATCATGAAATGTGTCAAGCGTGACCAAGTCAGCACAAACAAGTAAATCTACATTGTAGCTAGCTTCAATGTGAGAGAGAGTGACAGAAACGATCTCCACTTCAGTCAGTTCTATCATTGCATGGCATTCCCACTGACTGTATAGACATGTCTTCTTGTCTGAACTAAATGATACAAATTAAAGCATCTCATTTGTAGAGTAACAGTACAGCTTAAAGAGAAACTTAAATACCCCCTCAAAATCTTTAACCTTAATTCAGAGGTTACATAACTCACCTTTCTGCATCCCTGTTTGGTGTGGTGAACCTTTTTAACACAGGTAACCAGACCTTTCAGTGCTCCTGGGTGGCCCTGAAGAAGAAGGCAGCATAACATATGTGCAGCCTTTTGTAAAGTTATTCTTTAAAGGGCAATTTCAATCATTTACACATCAGCACAAAATTAGCTATAAAATTATTTTAAGATACATTTAACACATTTGTTGAAAATACGAAAGACAAAGAAAAGAAAGGAACAAAGACAGAACATTTCTTTGAATGCCTTCAAGAGGGGGGCTAGTAGGAAAGAGAGGGGGTGTATACGTATTCTATGGATGGCTTAGTGTGTGTGCATGTAGTTGTGTAAAAGGTGATAGTTGTAGGAGATGGGTGGGGTTGAGGATGAGGATGAGGGGTTACCAGCTGATGTAAGGGTTTCAGACAGGAGCTTGGCTGCAGGTTGTATGGTGGAAGGAGGGGGTGAGAATAGTGAACTGAGGACGTCTTTCTGGCCAGGGATCCACATTGGCAGTAAAATATGTATCCTTTGATTTTATCATGTAGTAGCAGATAGGAAATGTATCTCAGAAAGCATTCCTATAAGTAAGATAGTGTCTACTGGACTACAATGGTTTCAGGGCCTGATACAGATATTAGGGTCAAAAAGTCGGGATACCTACAGGAAGCTTTTGTTAGTCCTGCAATTATATAATAATAATAATAATAATAATAATAACTTTATTTATATAGCACCTTTTAAAAACACAGCTTTACAAAGTGCTTTGACAAACAGCAAAAACAAAAACAAAGCAAACTAAACCAAACACAGAAGAAAATAAACAACAGCAAGAATATAACAGATACAAAATACTAAAAATAATTAAATACAATTCACCAGAAAAGAACCCAAACTGCATGATACCCATCAGACATATATATAACCCGACCATCACAAGAACCATTATAAGAACCCAGGCAACACAAGAACCCAACAACAAGAGCTGAGGCCAAGAGGACCAAAGATTTTAAAATATGTTGGAAACTAAAAGAGCTAAAAGCAAATAAAAAGATAACAGCAATAAGAAGGTAAGAGCAGTAAAAGAAATAGAAACAAGTGGTTAAAGGATCAAAAAACCCAAAACTGTAATATTAATAAAAATAAAAAGAATATAAATATGAAACATAAATAGACAAAGTAAGTAAGATAAGAAATTACCAAGTTAAAACACAAGAGGAGATTAAGATATGAGCATAAATACGAGATAAGACCATAAATAAAAGACAGTAAGAAGTAAAAGAAGATAAAAATAGTAAAACCATTAAGAAAAGACATTAAGAAGACGACATCACATAAAAGGAAGTCTGTAAAAGTGCGTTTTAAGAAGAGATTTAAAAGAATTGAGGGAGTCTGCGAGTCTTATCTCATTAGGGAGGTCGTTCCAAAGTCGAGGGGCCCTGACTGAAAAGGCCCGGTCACCTTTAGTTTTAAGTCTCGACTTTGGAACGATCAGGAGGCCCCCACCTGAGGATCTAAGACTGCGGGCTGGCTCATATGGTGTCAGTAGCTCTGTTATATAGCTTGGAGCCAGCCCCGTCCGTGCTTTAAAAGTAATGAGTAAAACAATACTGAACCGGGAACACCGGTTGAATGAGTACACTTTTTTTAAATTCTGTTTGATGGGAATTTATTACAGCACTTAATTTGTCAGATATCTGAAAGGGATCCAGAGCTCAAGAGAGAAATCCAAATTGAATATTTCGATCTATTTCTAAAGCTATAGTTTTTCTAACAAACACACTCATGCAGCCTCTGTTTAAAGGTACAGCTTCTTTTAAATAGAAACTGTTCAAGGTTTGAAAAATATGCCAACAAGAGGATTACAGGTTGAAGGGGTTATAGTGTGCTATGACACTAAGTGTGCTGTGCATAATATATAGAATAAGAATGTAGAATGGATTTCCGCCATAAAACATGCACAGCAATAATTTTTATTGGTGTTTCTTTTTGTGTGTGTTAATGATCAGGTCCTTCGTTATTTTGATTATGTCTTCACTGGAGTTTTTACCTTTGAAATGATCATCAAGGTGAGTATATTTTCATACAGAAAACACTCTTTACAGAAATGTAACTGACTCTAGATTCACTCAGAGGTGTTCCCTGTTCAGTATTGTTTGATCCATCGACTCTGCGTGTCCTTGTTTATGCATATTTGTCCCCCAGATGATAGACCAGGGTCTCATTCTGCACGACGGCTCTTATTTCCGAGACATGTGGAACATCCTGGACTTCATCGTGGTGGTGGGAGCTCTCATTGCCTTTGCTCTAACGTGAGTCACTGTATAGTGCCGCCTGTTGATGAGTAATGACTGACTCACTGCAGCAAATCGTTTTCTGAGCATACAGTATTGTTATAAACGACCTTCCCTCAAAGACACTTTTTTACAAAAATGCAGTCTGCTTCAATGACAAAGGAGCAGCTCAGAAAACTGCAGATATGGAGGCATGCCTGGTTCTGTGAAGTGTGTAACTCAGATTTAAGTGTTTGTATGGATGTCTCTGTAATTTCAGGGTTTACACATGAGTGAGGTGTGTCATGACTGCTGTGAAAAACCTCTACTGTATTTGCTTCTGTTGTCGTTCCCAACTGAGTGTGACAGATAACTGACTAAACCTTTTTCCGCCTTCTGTTGTACTGTACAGGACTGTGCTGTGGATTTCTCTGTTGTGATTATAACTGTGATCCTCTGAGCTTTGCTCACAGTGTATCTCTTTTTATGCCTCAATTTTTTTCTATGTTGTTCCTGTGGATTTTATCACTGTTGGGGCTACCAGGAATGTGATGGGGTAAAAATTTCTGTCACACTTTATGTGAATGTCTTCCATAAGCTTTAAATATATATCTTTCATTTCATTTGTATATATTTTTGTATTTATTGTGTTTGGATTGTGTTTTTGTTGTTGCGTCTTCTAAACCTCACCAGCAGGTATCAGGGGTTAAATGTATTAACATGTAGTCACTTTAATAAAACCCTTTTGCCATTTTAGTTTGACCCTCTTAGAAATTAAAAATTAACATGTAAGTTCATTTTATAAAGTTGAATTGGCACATTCTTCCCAAGGGTGCACTTAAAATGAGTCCATTTGAGTATAATGGGTTTACATTTTTTATGTGCTGTGGAATGTATAAAGTGGAATATTACACAATGCCCAAAACCCACACAGTTGAGATTGGGTTTCAAGGACAGAAACAAATAAATACAATTCTATGATTTAATGTTATGACCTTGATAAGCGAGAATTAGCCAATGAGGTGAGCGTGGCACTTAAAGACACAACTTAGGGGACAACAGTTTGCCTCGCTGTTAGTTCATGCGCCCTGTGTACAGAGGCTGTTGTCCATGAAGTGGACGGTCCAGGTTTGACTCCAGCCTGCTGCTCCTTTGCAGCATATCATTTATTCCCCACTCTCTCTCCCACCCTAGCTGACTCTACCCACTGTCCTAGCTCAACAAAGATAACAACACCAAAAATTCATAGTAAAAAAAGCAATTGTCTCACCGAATTTTTGAGAAAGTGATTTAGTGGTTTCATTAATGGTTTAGTGGTGTATTGAAATCAAAACAAGCCTTAATTATGATTGTGAGATACATAGAGTACATACAATTTCAAAAAGAGGGTTATGTTCTTGACAATCTTTTAACTTTGACTTTATCTTTACAAAACACAATCTGACTTATGTTTCATAAAAACGTCATGCAAAGTAAATCATAGCACAAACAGTACTCATTGTTGCCATTGACACCTGCTGGGCTTGGTACAAACACACTCAAAATGAAGTCCTGTGTCAATGTGTTTTTTTAATATGCACTTGTGTTACCATTTCGATTTCCCTGTCTTCTTTTCACTGTTATGAATGTAACCATACCAAATGTCCTTGTGTCTAAGTTTGAGCACACATCCTTTCTCCTAAGTGCTGTATTTCAATGTCAACAGAAACAACAAAGGCAGAGACATCAAAACTATCAAGTCGCTCAGAGTTTTGAGAGTTCTGCGGCCTCTAAAAACCATCAAGAGACTTCCCAAACTAAAGGTATGAAGCAATCTCTCTGCAAACATTCTCCTGTATTTTGTTTCTCTGGTGTTCTTTCAGAGATCCCTGACAGGTTGCTCTTGCTTTGCCATCCCTCTTCTCCACAGGCGGTCTTTGACTGTGTGGTCACATCTCTGAAGAACGTCTTTAATATCCTCATCGTGTACCAGCTCTTCATGTTCATCTTTGCTGTCATTGCTGTGCAGCTCTTCAAAGGGAAATTCTTCTACTGCACCGACAGCTCCATGAACTCAGAGAAGGAGTGCCAGTAAGTGGATCTGTTGTGGTATCTTAACCAGCCATGGAGGAATTACTCAAAGATTTCAGGAGAAGTAGTACATTTAAAATATTTTTCTTAAAAGTAAATTAAAAGGTATTTGACTTTAAATTTAATTATATAACCATAAGTAAAAGAACTCATAATATAAAATAGTGTCATTGTAGTGATTTTTGTGTGTGCTTTTAATAACAAGAACATGTCACTAATACACCCAGTATTGTTAAAAGCACAATATTTCTCTCTTTACTGTTTAAAGAAAGTAGAAAGAAGCAGAAAAGTGAAATACCCAAATAAAAGTGTTGGTACTTTACTTTTAAAAAATCCTACATGTTTACTTTCCTCAACTGATCCAAACCACTCATTCAACGTCTACATCACTGTTTGAAAAAAAAAAAAAACATATACCTTAATATCTACCTTAAGCTAATTGTTACCATAAGTTACAAAGTGAACATTTTGCTTTAATAAAGAATACTTGAAACCATGAGCTCACCAGCAAAATGATTCCTGAGGTAATGGATCAAGAAGGGAAGTAGAATCTTTTTCTATACAATTGGACTTCTTTTGGCAGCTGGTTCAATCGCCCCCTGCTGGGTTTCAGAAAGAATGCAGGAGGTCTTTCTGCATTGGCTTCACTTTCGCATCAATGGCTAAGTCCTCTCTTTCATACAAACTTGTAATTGTTATTGCCACAGCCAGTGAGTCTTTTTCTGGTAGGGAGAAGAGTAACAACTATAATTTTAAGAGTAGAGTTTCAATAACTTGTTGTCAAAATGGAAACTGTAAAGTTTTACATTGTAGGGATGATGCTTATTTATTTGCTAAGAGCAAGATGAGAACATGTAAAAAGTGACTTTGTTTACACACTGGCCTCTTTAAAAGTTCACTAATTTTGTATCTTATCTGTTCAATCTGAACACAATCAAAAACAGGAACTCTGGGTCGGGTTGTTTCTGGCAAACCAGACAAAAATGTAAACCAGCCGACTAATCCTGTCTCTCTTACTGGCCAAAAAACTGGAGAGAAGAAACAAAATAAGTTATTTTCTTACAACTAGTCAATGTACAAAAAGAAAATAAACAAGCAAAGCAAAGAAAGGACGCTTCAAATGGAGCACAGAAAGATGGCCTAACGGTTAGGTCGCTCCCCATGTACGGAGGCTATAGTCCTCCAAGTGGGCGGCCCGGGTTCAAGTCCGACCTGTGGCTTCTTTCCCTCATGTCATTCCCCACGCTCTCTCTCGCTCATGATTTCCAACTCTATCCACTATCCTATCTAAATAAAGGCAAAATATATACATAAAGAAGAAAGATTAACCTGTAAATACTACATAGACTGATATCTCTCTCTTCATTACAACTGCTGGTTGGATGAGTGAATGATGAGAATCAATGACCTGTGGGCCGCTGTGTTCCCTACAGAGGCTACTACATCGACTACACCCGAGACAAGAAGGAGGTGAAGAGACGAGAGTGGAGGAGACATGAGTTTCACTATGACAATGTCTGCTGGGCGCTCCTCACACTTTTCACTGTCTCGACCGGAGAGGGATGGCCTCAGTAAGTAGATTTTCACCCAGGAGGGCAGTCCAGGTAGTTCTTTTAAGTTTAATGTTCAAACTGTCGTTTTGGTTAGTTGCAACATAAGAACTACAAAAAAAACCATGCTTTTATTGCGTAATAAGTACATACATTAATATCTCGTTACTTTTTTCCTCCCCTAAAATAGATGACTGACATATCTTCTTTCTCCCATCTCCTTCCAGGGTCCTGCAGCACTCCACTGATGTTACAGAGGAGAACATGGGGCCGAGTCGAGGAAACCGAATGGAGATGTCAGTTTTCTACGTGGTCTACTTTGTGGTCTTCCCTTTCTTCTTTGTCAACATCTTCGTTGCTTTAATCATCATCACCTTCCAGGAGCAGGGCGATAAGATGATTCAGGAGTGCAGCCTGGAGAAGAACGAGGTACGGAGCGTTGAAATATAAGAACCAAGACAAAGAGATATGTAAATTCACACATTTTCATCTGCTCTATTTTTTCTTTTCAAATTTGTCTCCATCAGAGGGCTTGCATTGACTTTGCCATCAGCGCCAAGCCGATGACCCGCTACATGCCTCAGAACAGACAGACCTTTCAGTACAGGCTGTGGCACTTTGTGGCTTCGCCTTCTTTCGAGTACACAGTGCTCGTCATGATTGCTCTCAACACTGTGGTCCTCATGATGAAGGTAAAACAACAACAGTAATAAGATAAGATAACAGTTTATTGTCTGTTTGCACGGAAATTTGTCTTGCATTACAAGCTCAGAAATCCTCGCATCCCAATCAAATCACATCACATTTACATTTAAAATCACAGTTCAGGAGTGACATACATATATAAATAATGTTAGGAGATTGTCCATGAAAAAGTTAAAGTGCTCACAGTCCATGTGAAGCCCAGGTCAGGTCAGGCAATCTTCCCGGCCAGTCTGAGGGTGTGCTGAGTGCAGCTCACAAGGAAAGAGCGCTCAATACAGTGACCCACCATCTTTTAGCATATACCCAGGAGTCTTAGTATCCTAGACTTTAGCTGGATTGAGAGGCCGCAGAACCAGACTGAAAGAGCACTGTCTGTGTCCACTCCCAGATATTTAAATGATGTGCATTTTTTTATATTTCTATTGTGAATGATGACTGGAGGACTATACTGCGTGTAACCAAAGATACCCTCCTCTGTTTTGATGGGATTTAAAATGAGGGCATTCTGGTCACACCACATGGGCACTCTGTCCTCACTGTCCTGCTAGAGTTCTGGCTGCTCCTCCTCTGTCATCAGTGCTACTAGTGCAGTATCATTTTGACAAGATGGTGATTTGGCACACTGGTAACACAGTCATTGATGTAGATGGTGAATAACAATGGTGAGATGACACATCCTTGTGGAGCGCCGCTTCTCATTGTGACCAATGTGTCATTTACCATCACCCGCTGCTGTCTCTTGATGAGGAAGGAGTGGTACCAATGAATGAAATAATGATTTATCTCCAACTGGTGCATTGTGGAGAGCAACATGTATGGTTTAATTGTATTGAATGCGGATGAGAAGTCAGTGAATATTACTGTAGCATAAGGTTTGCTTGTTTGAGTATCCAGATGCTTTGAGACAAGGTACATGCAGGAGCTACAGCATCTTCAATGCTACCCTTGTAGGCAAACTGATAGGGGTCCAATCTGTCCTGTACAGACTGAGAGACCATGTATGTGATGATCTTTTTCCAGTGACTTCATTAAAATCGTGGTTAAAGGGTTAGGGTTGGTTTTTCAACACAGAGGCACTGATGTTGTCCGGGGCAGGTGGACTTAAGTGCGTCAAGGCATCGAAAGGCATTGGCCACCTGACCCACTGAGATTTCTACCCTGTAATCAGTCAGCATGTTCTGACCTCAACACATCACTGCCGCTCTCTCCAATTTTAGAGTCCTCAGACTGGAAAAAGTGTTCAGCTCTACAGCAGAGGCCAGCTCCTCATTTGTTACAAATGACTTATGTTGTTTTCTTGGCATACCTGCCTTATTTTTCATGTCCTCCCACATTTTTCTCGGGTTACCATCATTAAAAGCCTCTGTGTCTCTTGTGTGCGTCTTTTGCCTTCCTGATTTTACCCCTCAATTCCTTGTCTCTCCTCTGTAGCTCTAATGAGTCCTTATTTTTAAAAACGAATTTCCTCTGGTTCATTACATGTTTAATGTCTTTTGTTATGTAGGTTTTGTTGTTTCGTTTAACTATTTTTGTGGGTATGATGGACTCTGCGTGTATGTATGTAGTCTGTTGTGACAGTACTAAGTGCCCTCTCTTAGCACCTCCCAGATACCCCACATTATGGGCAGAGTTAGATATTGGTGGTTTGCTTCTGGATTGATAGGCATTGCCCGATGTTTATGAAACGTTTATCCACTGTGTTTTCCTTCCTTGTTCCACATTTTACAAACCAGAGTTTTCTCTAGGTTGCAGGAATTTAGGTCTCCAAGAACAATGGCGGGGGTATTGGGGAATTGTTGTGCTATCGAGGCGGCAGCGCGGCATGCTTTGCCGCTGGGTGGGACATCGACAACAAATAGAAGAATGTTGCCAAATTTGGGAATGTTGCCAAAAATCTGATTGGCTGAAGGGTGCCACGTGGATGTGCATTAACTTTAGATACCAAAAGCAATAAAATGTTCACTTTGATTGTTTATCTAAAGCAAGTTTTTAGGCGTTATTTACACTTTGCTGACTTGAACTGGAACAAACTGCTGAATGGAAGGCGTAAGTAAATCTTCAAACAGCCAGTGTTGAGATATATGCAAAACGTATTGGTTCAAATGTGCGTATCCATCTTTATAACTAGTGAAAGTGATCACTGTAGATAGTGGCATCAAAATGTATGAATGTTATTTTAAATGTTGTCCCTTTTTTCTCCTCAGTACCACTCGGCTCCAACAGCCTACGACATGGTGCTCAAACACCTCAACACGGCCTTCACTGTCCTGTTCTCCTTGGAGTGCATCCTAAAAATCATGGCATTTGGTTTAGTGGTGAGTGTTTTCAAAAGAAGACGGACAAAGGAGATGTTAATCACATCTTATGCTGCTGATGATTAATTTGTCTATGTTTGGTCAAACAACTGAAATTGTTTTTTTCTTTTTCCGCAGAACTACTTCCGAGATACTTGGAATATTTTCGATTTCATCACTGTGCTTGGCAGCATCACTGAGATAATTGTGGATTTACAGGTAAGTTCCTGCCAAGACACCGTTTCATTTTCACACTGTGGTGAACCCAAAGAAAAACGTCGGAAATAGCCAGCTTTGCAAGCAGCATTTTTTTTTTCATTCCAAGTATCCTGGTGTGCTGTGATCCCTGCCTCCAGACACAACTTAAGTCATGTTGTGATGAATTTCGCCATCTGTGTTTTTACATCCTGTCTCCCCCGTCTGTCTGCCACTCTCTCTCTCACTCGCTCACTCTCTCCCTCCTTCTGGTGTCACCCTCTCTCAAACCATCCGTGTATCTTTCCTAGTCGGTGAACACCATCAACATGAGTTTTCTGAAGCTTTTCCGGGCAGCCAGGTTGATCAAGCTGCTGAGACAGGGGTACACCATTCGGATTCTGCTCTGGACTTTTGTACAATCTTTCAAGGTTGGCTATGTTTTAATCAACTCATTGGTTCATGTCACTTCAATGATGATACATATCTGGAAGTAAAGTTAATTAAAATTCTTATGACAAGTTTTAATCAAATATTTTGCTTTCTCTCTTTCAACAGGCTCTGCCTTATGTCTGTCTTCTCATTGCAATGCTTTTCTTTATATACGCCATCATTGGAATGCAGGTATTCTTTCACTAAGATACATTATGGTTGATATTACAGACTGTCACGGCTCACAGTAACATTTATTTCAGTGAGAAAGTGTCTAGTTATTCTTTGAGCCAACTTAAGGAACTTGTAGTTAAGAAAATATATGAAAACATCAACTTAGTCTCTTAAAATTTAAGGATTCAGCTCAGTTCAGACCTTTATTGGCCCTGGAAGGGAAATTTGATTTACAGCAGTGGACAAAAACACACATGAAAAAAGACACAGGACAGTGCAACACAACCTCATTAAATACAACCAAGAAAAGGAAAATGTAACTGTTTGTTAGAAATCCCACTTGAATGGTAGCAATATGAAAAAGTGCTATAGTGCACAGAAGATTAAGTGCAATAATTACACGAGGAACATACGAGAAGTAGTATCTGTTGCTCTTAGCCCTGGACAGCCTGTAGCTTCGACTAAAGAGGAGAAGAACAAAATCCTCCATGAGAGGAGGGTCAGAAATGGTCATGATTGACTTTGCTTTTCTCACAATTTGTCTGTTCCATATTTCTGACAAGGAAAGCTGCTGTGTGCCAATTATTTTACTTATATTATTCTATTTTACTGTTTTAACAACACTGGACAGATGAATGTGTGCTTCAATGAGACTACCCTGTCGAACCTTGTTTGGCCAAATGTATTCCTTATATTTTGTTTATATTATGTGTATATATAAGCAGTATATATATATATATATATATATATATATATATATATATATATATATACATATATATGTTTATAAAGTAACACACACACACACAAAATATATATATATATGTATATATATACATTTTTATAGATTAAGGCAGTCAACATTTATATCTTACACTTTGAATTCAGTACTCATGTGGATATACTTGTGTAAAGCTGCTCACTTTTAAACTGCTCCATCATTTCCATAGCGACAGACCCAATGTGATTTTGTGAAAATGTGATACATTTTTCATTTCTACATTTTAATTGAATTGACCCATGGAATAAAACAGCTGCTAAAGCAGAAGCTAACCGGAATCCAATGAAATACACATATTGAATGATTCTCGTGTTTTCTGCAGGTGTTTGGAAACATCAAGCTCAATGATGAAAGTCACATCAACCAACACAACAACTTTAAGACCTTTTTCAGTGCACTGATGCTGCTCTTCAGGTGGGCTTACAAGAAAATATCCTCCAAGCTTCACGGTTCAGTTTCATTTTAAGTGAATTCCTCAGGGAAAATGGGTTTCAGTTTGATGTAAGCCAGGTGTTTGTTTGTGTTTAAAACCATCAGGAGTGCAACAGGGGAATCCTGGCAGGAAATCATGCTTTCATGTCTGTCGGGTCAGGAGTGTGAACCGGACTCCTCCATTGCCCCCCTCACCATGTCTCCAGACCACGAGGGAGGCTGTGGGACAGACTTTGCTTACTGCTACTTTGTCTCATTCATCTTCTTCAGCTCTTTCCTGGTCAGGGCTCCAGCGAAACTACATTCTGTTGATATGTTGGGTAGTTATTCTGCACTCCTGAACACTACTTTTTTCTTTGTTATGTTCTTGTCTAGATGTTGAATCTGTTTGTGGCTGTGATCATGGATAACTTTGAGTACCTCACAAGAGATTCTTCAATCCTGGGTCCACATCACCTGGATGAGTTTGTCCGCATCTGGGGGGAGTATGATCGTCTGGCATGGTGAGATCTTATCACTGCTGTATTTTTTAACAGGTAGTTTATTTTGACCTGATGAACACTCATGTTCTATTTTTATCCAGCAGAGGGCCACCAAATAATGTGAAATGTTGCATATTTCAGGTCAATGTGCCACAGGCTGATAGTAGTCCTAAAAAGCCTTCAAGAGCAGCTAGAGTACACTGTGATTGATTTTTTTTAGAAAACAAACATTGTTCAAACAAAATGTCATACTTGAAGAAAAAGACCTTGCCAAAGATTTGCTTGAGTTTTTTTTTCATTCTTTATGAACTTCTCCACCCTCTGCTTCTGTTACTCTGTGCCTTGTCTTACTCATCACACCTGTGTTGCCTCTGAAGTGGTCGTATCCACTATACAGCCATGTACGAGATGTTAACACACATGTCGCCACCCCTGGGCTTGGGCAAGAAGTGTCCAGCAAAGATTGCCTATAAGGTACATGAGCCAAGTTTAAAGACATTTAGAATATATAATGAATTCATTTTATGCAGTACATTTATTTACTGGATTGAAAGGAACACACCAACAATCTGTAACTACGTTCATCTACTTTCTTCTTCTTCTCTCTGTCTCCTGTTTGTTTCTCAGAGGTTGGTGTTGATGAACATGCCTGTGGATGAGGACATGACGGTCCACTTCACCTCCACCCTGATGTCACTCATCCGCACGGCTTTGGAGGTCAAAATAGCTCGAGGTCAGGGTCACTAAGGAGTGTGTATGATATGGCATCATGGCTACCATAAACAACTATTTTCATTAAAGTTCATTTTACAGTCACTTAATCATTTCATGTATAAAATGTTAAGCGTGATGTCATTCTCTCTCTATATATATTTGTTTACTTAATCAGTCACTGCACAATAATAACTGTATATATTCTTGCAGTCACCACAACTGTCTATTTATTTATTATTATTATTATTCATTCACTGAACAGCAATTACTCTGGCCACTTTTCACAAACATATTTGTCTTTCATATCACCACAAATATATTTTCACATAGGTGAACTGTTTTTGTAAACGCTGCTGTTTAGTATTGCTGCTAATGAAGTTTCGTTGTGTCCTTGTAGACAATGATAATAAAGATTCTATCTATCTATCAATTCATTCATTTAGTCCAGGCACACTGAAAAATATATTTATTTTCTTTCTTGTTGTGTCTTTTGACTAAATACTTCATTCAGATGAATCGCATTAAATGATCTACTAACTGTACTGTAACTGAACTGCCAAAGGTGGAGAGGACCGTCTCGCTCTGGATGCCGAACTCCAAAAAGAGATCAGTATCATTTGGCCTTATCTGCCCCAGAAGAATTTGGATCTACTGGTACCTATCAACAAAGGTCTGGTTCTAACTATGGAAGTTTAACTGATTGTAATGTTTAGAGACGAGCAGTGAAAGTTAATGTGTAGTGTATCGGCCCTCACAGATACAGACATGACGGTGGGGAAGATCTACGCTTCGATGATGATAATGGACTACTTCAAACAGAACAAAGCCAAGAAGCTCAGGCAACAACTCGAAGCTCAGGTCAGCCGTGCAGGCTGATAGGCCTGTTCCTCAACCTCATTGTACTTCTCACCATGTTTTATAAATAATTATACATGGGGCAAGACACGCATATTGTAAGAACATTTTACAGAAAAGGGGAACAAAAAAATACACATCCTCACATAGGATCGTTTTTTATTTCCTCTTAAAGCTCTTGAACCCATGTTTGAGGCACAATTTGATTAATTATATGATAACGACAACAGCTTCAAAGTGTGTTTTTGTTTGCTTAGCCTAAATATTGAAATAGAAAAATCCACTCCTTCATATTCTTTAATGCAGCTTGAACAAAGAAATTGTCTGAAGCCGAAAGTCTTAGATGTATTTCTTTTTTCATTCTTATGGTTTCAAAAGTATGGAAACGTGAATAGAGTGGATAGGACCCAAATGCATATAACAGAGTTGAAACAAGTGCAATTCAATAGTTATATTTAAAAACATGCTTTGAGATAATTGCTTAGGGTAAGGTGAGGCAGGTAATGGTTAAAACCAGGACAGGCAGTCCAAATAGGCAGAGAAACAGTCATCGAGCCTAGAAATCAAAGCAAAGATCCCAAAACACCAAGACAACACGAGGAAAGAGCTGGGTCGTTGAGCAAAGCATACAAAAACAAACTGTTACAGATAGAAGGTACAACAGAGAAACAAAAAAGTTAATAAATCAAAGTAAATTAGGAATCAATAAAAGGACAACAATAAACAAATAAAAACACAACCCTTGAATCAGAGCAGTATGTGACAGAAGTTTCTGTGTTTCTTATTTCAGAAGAGTAGCTTAATGTTCAAGCGTCTGGATGCGTCCACCCTCCCGGAGGACATTCTGTCCAACAGCCAGACGCTGCCGATGATGGCCCACAGTGCCGGCTCAGCCCTGTGAGACTGTGCACACCTGCAGATGTGTCATTTTGAACTCCTGGCTCTGTTAATGTGTTTGTTTAAAGTAATGTTTCCCTCTGTCTTAATGCAGGACCAGAGGAGGTTTTGTTGCTTTGAGCCCTATCTCACCACAGGAACTTTTCATGCAGCCCATTAGCTCAGACGTGGATGTTAGTCAACAGCAGAATCTGGTAAGAAACAGGAATGACGTGATATGATCATAAATCCCACAAACACGTCTTAGAGCAGTGGTTCTTCACCTTTAAATTACTGTTGACTTGTCACAGGCTGTCTCTGAATAAGGATTTCATACTTGGGCTGTTTTTTGAATAAATTCACAGGTCGAATACAAAAGACAGTTTTTAATAGTAGACATCTTATGTTCTTAAACTGAATTATTTTTTTGTATAAAGTGCAACACATCTGCAGCAAGGGTATCTTGGCCATTCACCCCACTAACACAGAGAAAGTAGTCGAACTTTGCTTCAGTTATAGCACCGTCTGACCCATTTCTGTATTTAATAAAGCTAGCTGTGGATGTAAAAACTGCCTGACAGCAAAGCCAAAGTCATGACTTAGTATCAAAATGATCCCTGTCTCTTTCTTAGTGCTACACAAACACATACATGCGACATAAATGTAGTGTTAGATAGACCATTAGTATAAATCTACATCCAGCCCATTAAAACAAGGACAATCCTGATCAAGGACAACGGGAGCTTATATTTGTACGAGGGCTTAGTTGAGTGAATCTACTTCAGATGTGAAGTGCAGATCGCACCAGGCATTAGTTAGACTGCGTCACACACTCAAAAGAATAAACTCTGCCCCCTGATGTAACACAGCATGCCACAGTTAGAGTAATCATCAACACCCACAAATGCATGAAAAAGCAAATAACTTACGCATTACCCTAAATTATTTTAAAAGGTGGGGTGCGGCAGTGGCACAGTATATGGGACGTGTGGGGCCTGTAGGTAAAATCAATGGATGTGCGTGTCAAGTCGCTGATATGTGTTGCCCTTCAGATAAAGCTTGTGATCCCTATGGGGGGGTCCTGGCCAGAGGTATGGAACCACTGTCCTAAAACAAAGACCATACACACTCAATATTTACAAATTCAAACAACGTCACAACTGCAATATGTTGCTTTATTTTTAAATCAATAAATTCTCAATGGATGACATTGCTGTGACTTTTCTCACTGCCTTGCAGAGCTCGGCATTGCTGCTGTCTGTGCTCCCGTCTTTTATTCCTGTGGAGGTCGGATTATCAAAGGCAGATTGTCAAACAGTTGTTGTTTTACTGTGTCTACACCGTCTGGTTTAACTGGTTTATGTTGCCTGCTAGATCAATGACATGAACTTCTTCTGAACTATCCACGTATTAGTGTCTGTTCTTGCACAGGAATGTGTTCGACCCCTTGACAGATGTGGCGTGACTCTTTGTGTAGTTGTTAGGACCTGAACCTGCATGATGGAATGAACTATCAGGCTGAAATCTGGATTTCCCTGTGAACTGTTTTGTTTCTTGTCCTTTCTCACTCCTCTTGTCCACTGTTTGCTCCTTTTTTAACGCAACTCACACTGTTTCTATTCCTCCTCTAAGTCAGTTATCTGTTGCTAGTGGTTAATTTGTCTTTTTTTTTTTTGGCTGAATGGTTTTGATTGGATGGCGATGGTGATGGCTATGATAAGTGACCCTCAGTGATGAAATGGCTTGTCTGCCCTCGTCTCACCTGAAATGGACCTTGGTATAGAGGCAGTCCTGGCAGGGGCGAGCCTGATTGGTGCGCTGTCTCTCCTTGCCCTCCTCACTTGTGTCTGTACTCACCTAGGTGGGCGAGTGCAGTTTGGGGATTGAATCCCAACTGGAGGTTCCGCTAGGAAGGGGCCTGTGTGTGCGGGCCTCTTCCATGCCCCGTCTGGCTATAGATTTGCAGGTACACATATTTTCCATGACACGGCCTCTGTGCTGGATCTTGCGGACGACAGTGGCTGCATGGGCTCTAACGCCAAAGTGCCTGTTTCTTACATGCACGAGATGATGAGAAGTTTATATGAGTAGAGTTTTGGCTTGTCTTTTCTTTGTTGGGAGTCTTCTTAAGATTTAAAGAAATGTTGATGACGTTTAATGTTTGAATGCTGATGCCTTGCTCTCTTACCTTGATCTCTTTCGTCTCCAGAATAGAAGAAACTAAACCTAACAATTTGGATGCATTATTTGTTTGCACTCAAGCATGATTTTTGATCTCAAAACTTCTCTGCAATGGTCCACTCTTTTCTGAATTTACCAGCATGTTAATGTTTTCTTTGTGCATGTGCCTTGTTTTTGCATGGTTGTTTTCGTATGTGTGTGTTTCCACATACGAAAGCAGACAGAGGTTGCAGGCGGCTCCATGAAGCGTTCAGTCTCCACTGTTGCCGATCAGCGGGTGAACGGTCTTTGGCAAGACGAGAAGAGTCCGGAGCGAATTTATCGACCTCGCCACAAAAGCTACAAGGCTGCTGGTGAGTCCTGTCATGTGTTGTTATTATCCTATTAGTTTGCATACGTACATACATGTGGGGAAATGTATGTTTGATTTGACTTAGAAATGTACATGTTGGGGTGTTGGTGGGACAGTGGTTGGTGCGCGTGCCCCATGTGTGGAGGCTGTGGTTTGGTTGTCTCACAATGTCCAGTAAAAACAGGCTAGCAAAGCGGGTCAGAGTGGCAAGCCAAGTGATCGGTGTGCAGCAAGCTCAGCTGCAGGACATTTATAGTAAGCGTGTCATCAGTAAGGCTCAACTACTCATGAAATGTCCTGAGTCCTGACCACCCTCTCCTTGTTGAATTTGATCTCCTTGCTTCTGGTCGTCGTTACAGAATGCCTCGAACCAAAAACAAGACGTGCCAGACATTCTTTTATCCCTGTTGTTGTTGAAAAGCTTAATTTGCTGGCCTAACTTTGCTGTTTTCTTACGTGTATTTATGTGGGTAAGACAGCTTTTTTTAGATTACAATTTCAGTCTGTTTTTTTCTTCTGATTATTTAATTGACTTCTCCTACATATTTTAGCATGATTATTCAAAAGTATTTATTTTACACTCAGCTGTGTGTCTGAACTGTTTAAGCCTCTGGCTCAGTGTGCTTGAAGTTCCTGTTTTTTCACTTGAGCTGTGGATTTTCTGTTTGTCTGTATTTCTTGATGTTGTCTTTTGTGTTCCTGCCATGTCTTGTTGCCTGCTACAGAGCTTACTTCCTTGGGATCATAATAAAGTTCAAGTTCAAGTTGATTTTTGCCATAAATATGCAGTCCAGCATGCCCCAGCAGCAACATTAAACAATCTGAAATTACATGTTTTTGGGATGGTTTGGTGTCTCTGCATGGGATGTTTTTCCTGTGAAGAAATGTTTAATGACTGTCAGGTTGCACATATTGTGGTGGTTACAAATAACAAAAAACAGAGACATTTATACTTAAGTTTCTTGATTTTTTTCTTGACATCTTTTACTTGTTTCCCCTTCTGAAAATCTCCCCTCCAGTTTCTCGTTCTGAGCACTGGCAGAAGGGAGACAGGGAGCGTGGCAGGTCTAAGGAGCGCTGCCATCTCCTCTCTCCTGGTGCCTCTCGCTGTAACTCAGAGGAAAGGAACTTGCAGCCCTCGAGATCCTCTAGTGTGGAGAGAGCACAGCCTCGAAATAAACAGGTTGGTCAGAAAACTTCAGCCAACACCCAGGATATCGATCTAAGTATTTTGTGAACTGATTTTTAATTAACTTTGTTAGTTAAAAAATAAGCAGCAGCAAAAATATTGTCTCTATTTGCTATCATAGAAGGTTTAAATAGTGCTAAAAAAAAATCAAATTAAGATGAAAACAAACAGCATTTGCAGGATTTAAGATTGACTGGCTTGTGAGAATTATGGGAAAAGGCGTCTCAGGAGTAATGTCACGAGTTCCAGTTCCAGCTGCATGCTCCAGTTAAACTAAAAATTTGAATTAGACACAAAAATTGTGATATCAGATAACAAATTAATAGGGCACTCTAGATTAGATAGGAAATTAAAGCATAGCTTCGGGACGCCCCCTAAACTTTGCCGTCTGTAAGTCACCAGATTTATCGACTGATTGTTTTCCCATTTCTGTTTATTCTCATCTGTAGGGCAACAGCTCGGACAGTCCGGTGCCCTCCACCTCAGAGTCCAGCACTCCCAGCGGCCGAAGACCTTTATCACAGACCCCAACTCGCTCTCGCCCTCACATTACCTACTCTCCGCTCGTGAGTCGCAAGCACCCCTCCGTCGGCGAGGACGAGGATGGACAAGGCAGCCCAGAGACCACGAGGCGGGGCAAGCTCACCTGGGAGACCGAAGAGGGGGTTGCTGATGAGATCCGAAGCGATGAAGGCCACCACCCTTCCCCACCTCGACGCTACCCCTCTGAGCCGTTCCTGGCGTCTCAGGATGACGACCACAGCCCTGACCCCTCTGGTCACATGGAGACATTGACCTTCGAGGCTGCCGTGGCCTGCAGCCTGGGGCGATCAAACACTGTCAGCTCAGCCCGCCCGCGCTTGCGGACCGGCTGGCAGGTCCCCAATGGACATTTCCGAAAGCGTTTGGGGCAGACAGCCTCTGTGGCTGGCTGCGATCCTCTCAGCGACACAGAGGAGGACGACAGGTGCTAGGGACAGGGGGCTCAGCATGTCGGAAAATCCCGGAGAGTTGTGTGAGAGGAACCTGTACAACAGAGTACAGAGTCAAAGTTATTGTGACTCATTTTGCACCCATGCTTCGAGGGCATGATCCCTCTGGATGTTTGGTAAAATGTGAACCCAAAACAAAGAGGAAAGATCAATACTTCCTGAAACTGTAGTTGCCAATTCACACTGAACACTGACATTGAAGAAGGTCTAGTTCCTGACTTGTACTTGATGATAGAGAGTAATAACACATCTCAAATAATCATGAGATGCAGAAAATTAGCGAATGGATGAAATTGTCATTTGTGTCAATAGATATTTTCATTTCTGAACATGTTTCTAGATGATTCAGTGTGGCTCTATCAGTATTTATCTGTGGGGTGTGTGAATATGTAACTACATTTTCTCAAAAATGATTGTTCTGTAAATACATTGTGATCATCTAACCATTGCCGTTGATAAAACCAGATCAATACAACAAGCCATCTTGAAGAGGCAATCTGATATTTTACCAGACAATGTGGATACTAATAAGTAACACTCAATAATGCTGGATTTTTTTACAGTATGAATGAATGTGCACGGGAATAAACTGCCTGATTTTCCCCGTCATTTTTTTTCCTTTTGGTATTGAACATAATAAGTTGTGAGATATGAATACAGTTATAGAACAACATAGAAAAGATGCTTATTTGTTACTTCACCCTATATTATTGTTAAATCATTCCTCCTGCAAACCTTTAACATTTTTGAATTATTCTTCAGTACACTCGGTCTATTTTTTGCAGTCTACTCCTTTTAAATCTGAATTTTTAAACAAACATATTTAACATTTGGTTTTGAGAAATAGTCGGTGTGTAAATTCACCATTAACTGATATGAAAAGTAAAAGATCTCTCATCTATTTTCACCTTTATTCTTCCTTGTGAATATAATGCATCACTGCAGACGATGACTGTAGAAACACTGTAGACACATCATGACCCGTTTTGCTTCATTAACAAATTAACATTACTCTATTACTTACTAATAATGTACAGAGAATTTATGCTGTTTGTAACTTTTAGAAGAAAAAAAATCAACAGTATCAGCTGATGAGCTTTAAAGGTAAAGGAATCTTTGGAAATGTTCATTTAATGTGTTTTTGTTTTATTTGCCTGAACAAGGACAACTCTGTGAAACTCACTTAACCAAAAAAAAAACCATGCAGATGTGTATGATAAGTTCCTGGAATGCAAATACTTTGTGGGTTTTTATGTGTACAATAGCTGTATATAAAAATAAAGGTGTCCTCAAGTTGCCATTGTTATGGAATGTCCTTTATTTTATTTCATATTTAGCTTTTGAAAACATCAGAAACTTTGAGGGGGAGACTTTAAACCTAGTAAAAACTCCTACAGAAAGCACACAAACAGACATACACATGCATACTGTCAAAAGATTTCACCTCAATAGTCTCTCTCTGGGGGGGTTGACTGACTACTCGGGCTCAATGGAGGAGTGGTCCTGACTGTTTTTTTTGTAATGTGGTGCTTAATAGAGTATGGGCCTCATTCTCTAATATCTTCATATTTTTTGAGGATCGATGCCGTGCTACTCATCTGGGTTGCAGCTAGAGCAGGAACAGACAGCTTTCAAGATCAGAGTAATCCAACGCGCACCAGGATTGTTTGGATAGACCTTAAAGTTTATTACATATGAAATCCTAATCTTAATATTTGTTCTCTATAAAGTTGATCCTGTTCTTAAACAGACGTTTAAGAACAGGACGTCGACGTCATTGTAAATGAGGGCTATGCTCTCAATGATTTTGACCTTCCATTTGATCTGTTAAACAGAGAAGATAAATTTCAACCAAACAATGTTATGGAGGATAAATATTAAAAGAATAGGCTATATGAGTGAGACATCCTGATTTAAAAAATTTTAAGAAGTACAACTGCTGTCAATTAACATAAATAAATTAAATTTATTTAATTGAAATAAATAAATGATTGGAGATAAACAGTCCACCAAAGTTACAAAGTAAACATATAAATTATTAGAGGGTAATTTAGATTTAAGATTTAATTTAAAACACAGCATGTGGTGTTGAATAAATACATGTATTTTGTATAATAATAATAATTAAAAAAAATAGTTTAACATGATAGACTTAATCCAATCCTGAATGCATCCTGTTTAGTGTTTAGTGTACCAAAGAAAGCTGTGTTCTGGGAATAGCACTGAAATCACATTATTACAGCTTTTACTGACAAATTGACTTTTTTTTTTGTTTGCAGTCAGCATTAATAATCAGAATTATTGAGAAAACGTCATTATTGTGCATGATTATTTTACATTTTTGTGTTGTTGTTGTTGTCATTGAAGGAGGGAGGACCCTGCCTGTCACTGGAACCACGTAAACGACATCAACCAATCAGCGCGTAGAATCCCCCTCCTTACGTCATATCCAACGGACCGATAACATGTCCTCCGGTCGAAGAAAGAGCTAGCCTGGAAAGCGAACTGTGAAATCTTACTCACGAAGTTTAAAAGGCGGAAATGTCGCTGCAGTCTAACACTCGTATCGCTCAGTGTAACAGACATCGTCGCTCCTGAAGTAGATAATTTGTTTAAATGTTTATTCTTAGGCAGGAATGAGCGATACTCATCAAGGAAGTCGCCCAGCTGGCTAGTTAAAAAAAAAAAAAAAGTAGCTACCGAGACTGCTAGCTGTCGTTAGCAAGGGAGTTCTTTGTTTTGTTTTTCAGGTGTCATCATGAAGAGAAACTATTGTTGACATTTGCTTTGACGTGTGAGCATGTTGGTGTTTTAAAAATCATGTACATGCTTTTTCTTGTAGCAGGTAGTCGAACTGTAAATTAATAGTTTCTTACGGGCGATTAAAAAAAAGAGAGAACACTAAAACATTAGCTCATCGAGATCAATCTGAGCAGCAAAAGGTTTTTTGGGGTTTTTTTAAATTTCCCCCACCGGAAGAAATGGGCAACTGTCTCAAGTCTCCGACATCAGACGACATTTCTCTGCTTCATGAATCCCAGTCAGACAGGGCGAGTTTCGGTGATGGGACAGACCAGGACCTGGAGCCTCCTCCTCCATATCAGGTTAGAAGAGCTGACTTAATGTTGTTATGATAATAAAAACATGAATCTTACATCACACAGGTGGATATATAACTGTGTAACTTCTGTTTTAAGAAGGGTTTAATCTGTGTGGCCTCTGTTCCAGTTTGGCCAAATTATACCTGAGTAAACAAACTGGTTTTGGATTCACTAAGTCCCCAAACCAGCTTTTTTTTTTTCTCCCACTTTGGCCCCCCCCCTCCCAGAGAGCCTGGGCTGTCAGACCACTTTGTTTGGACTGAGCTGCTCCCAGAGAGGATGACTTCTAGTATTTTAATTTAGGTGTTTCTTTGTCCTTTTACCCAGGAGCAGGCTCGCATGCCCATGTACCATCCCACGCCTAGCCAGGCCCGTCTGGCCACCCAGCTGACCGAGGAGGAGCAGATCCGCATAGCTCAGCGCATTGGTCTCATCCAGCACCTCCCTAAGGGTGTTTATGATGGAGGGCAAGATGGCTCGGAGAAAAAGATCAGAGAGTGAGTGTTTTGCTTTTTTTGTTGTTAGGATGGTTGAATGCCATTGCAGCTCAACATTATCAACACAGTCATACAGTTTTTTTTTACCCAATTTATTTATTTAATTTAAGTTGACTTGGCTTAAAGCCGGTTATCGAGCAGATATTTACTTCTCCCTTAAAGTCATTTTTAAATGTATGTATAAAAAAAGTTGATTTAAAGGTCGTGCTGTTAACTAAGCTGTATGTCTATTTCAGCCTGTTATTTACTCTCTTTCAGATGTGTGATCTGTATGCTGGACTTTGTATACGGCGACCCCATCCGATTCCTTCCATGTATGCACATCTACCACATGGACTGTATAGACGACTGGCTGATGAGATCCTTCACCTGCCCGTCCTGCATGGAGCCTGTTGATGCTGCCCTGCTTTCCACCTACGAGACCAACTGATTTTTGGATCCTTCCACTTGCTGGCTTCGATCAAACAAGGCTCCAGCTCCCCCTTCCCCCAAAAAACACACACACATAAGCCCAACCAAACAAACGCCCTCTTATAGAGAGAGGAGCTTAAAAATGTGTTGGCTGTTTTCTTGCACTTTTAAACAACCAAAACTTAGTCAGCTCATATTGGCTTTCCAACTCCTAGGTCTAAATGAGCCAGTTTTAAATGTAGTTACACAAACCCAGACAACTCTGCATGACTGCATTTGTGTGTGTTAGTTGTGCTGGAGCAGCGTCCATTGTTGCTGCTCACGGTGAGCATAAGGATGTGTATGTGAGCTGTTTGATGACTGTGCATTTCCACTTGAGCCGGTCTCAGTGGGTTTTTCTCCCCAACGGGCCTCATTTCACGTCATTATCAGTTTGTCCTTGTTATCAAACTGGATAATCAGGCTAACAGATTAATGACCGAAATTTCACAAAGTGTTGCTACGAGAAAAAGTTTCAATTAGAGGTATCCCGTGGCAACATTTCACAAAGTCCTCTTTGGCATATTGATCACCTGCACGTGCTCTCTTCTTAAAATGGCCCAACACTTTGGAGTTTCAGCGGTTGATGTTTACACTATGGGTGTCAGACAATAAGCATAACATTGCTCTCTAGGTAGTAAAGATAAAAAGACAATTATGCACAAACTGAACATAAATCACCCAAAATTGAAAAGTACACAATATCACGTGATGGAGATCAGGTCTACATGATATTTGGCTGCTCAAAAAAGGCCAGACTCTAAAGTAAGCGCTTTGAGTTGAAGGGAAAACGATGTGTACCGAGAATGTCTCAACTGTGTAAAGTAGCTGGCAGCCGATGTAAAAGGGCTCATTTGCGCATGGGCAGGTGGATCAGTCAGACAAAAATTAGAAACGCTTGCACACACTTTTCATCTGATCCCGAGATTTGCACTTTACTTATAGGACAGTATCTAAACAATATATTAATATATGTACCTTATAACCTTGCACTATCAATACTTCATCCTACTTTGTTTTCTGAGATTTAAAAGTTATATAGCTGATAAAGACATTTTTGAAGCTGTCAGTAGTCACTTATCACGTCGAGGTAAACCTGAAAATGTACTTCGTGAACTCTGTGATTCAGTAGTGTGAGCCTCCGCTTCGTTCTGCTTAATTTTGGATTGTTGTGCGTGAGTGAAGGGACAGAGGCTTGCTCCAGATTGACAGATAATTTAAATCAACTTTAGTGTGATGACTTATATGGAAATATTGATTTTTGATTGCATTCACTTTTATGTCCCGTGATTAGCTTAGCTAAGCATAAATACTGTTATCAGTGGGGAAATAGCTAGCATGCATAGCTAACTTTGCCTACTAGCACTCTGCCTCTAAAGTGTAATGATTTTTATGTTTTACAGGGACTTATATGGTATTTGACAACAATTTATGTAAATGTTAAACAAGTAAAATATACATGAATGAACCTTAGAGGTGCTGGTAGGTGAATTAAAAAAAAAACTGGACAGGGCCCTCTGGATGTTTCCCCTGCTTCTAGTTTTGTGCTAAGCTAAGCTAATCTTCCTCCTACTTTAGCTTAAATGAAAGCATACCCGCATGAAAGCAGAATCAATCTTCCCATATATATACAAGAAAGTAAACGAGCGTATTTCTCACAATATCCAACCGTTCCTCCTGAGAGGCTTCGTTTGAGGTGAACTTAAAACATTTTTTTATTTTAAATCTACGAGTACAACGTCACTTTGTTTAATATATGTCATATTTTTAATTGTACTATATTTTTTTGTTTTGTTTTATTCACATTCACTGTAGCAGTAGTTGCAATAATTGGTTTAATTTTAATTTGTGGCATTCTTTGGAGAAAGTTTGTCTGCCCTTTTTTTTTTCCTGTTACATGTGCTTTAATGTCGACCTTCTCATTTTTCATTTACATTATTCCAAATCCAATAATGTGTGTATATAGTACCGTAACTATATAACTCCTACACTGGTTTACTTTGCAAACCTCTGTCCCAGATGAATTTCACATTGTGAGAGACTTCTTTTTTTCTGGTGTGATAGTTACCACTGAGATTTTCCATTGAGCTTTTCCTTTGCTGTGTTTTTTGGCTTATGTTGATTCTGAAAATTAATATTTTGTGTAACCTTGTCTCTTTCTTTTTGGAAGGCTAGAAAGCTGTCATAAAAAAAAAATAAACAGGAAAAAAACAACTCTCTTTTTTAATTGATTAATTAAGAACAGGCAGTCTCTAAACACCCATCTAGAAAATCTGTTGGAATCCGTCAGAGCAATTAGTCTAAATGCATGTGTGAGAGATTACTGAACACACGATTGCGATATTTTCCTCTAAAACCTTTCATTAATGCAATCCCAAAACCTGGCACTGGAATGGAAACGTGACAGCAGTACGTAACAATCGAGCCCAAGCCATATTAATAATGTGTGATGCTTTGTTTCCTCTGCTTACATCAGCTGTGGAGGAAACATGTGAATCACATTAAGTGTTTTATACGTGACGCACAAACAGTTGAATTGTTACTACTAAAATAGAAGTAAACCCTCATCTGAATATGGCCACACAAGATGCCTTTCTACCACGCACATGCCTTTTTATACATACAAATGTCATGTGCAGTGAAAATGTTTTATGTTGGCTTATGGCATTATGTATAGGGAGGCTCTACATCTATGTTTAATACTCTCAACATGGATGTATGAAGAATAACTGATTGAAAGATGCCCTTTTTCTTTATTTTCAGATAAAGCACTGAGTCTGTTAATCAGCTTTGCAGTGCTACAAGATGTTCACGTTCAGAACACTTTGAGCAATACACTTAAGACACACATGGAAAGGTATAGTTCAAATGGGACTCTGTGTGGCAACATGCTAAATCTCTTGAAATATGTGAAAAAAATGCAGGCTGATGGATTATCAGCACTCGGTCTGTATGTTATAAGGGTCAATTTAGCTTGAATAAATCATCAGAAATAGACAATTTGAAACCCATAAAACATGGTTTGGACACACTCAACAAGGAAGGGGTCATCTAAAATGTATGTAAGCCAGTTGATATCCAGTTTCCAATTATTTGTAAAATATTCCAAGAAAAGTGTGCTTGCAGGACTCAAAGCTGCTAGTTTAAGGTGCTCTTTGGAAAAGGTCATGGGATACTTTAGTGAGTATCTTGTTTGTTTTAATATATCAGGTTTCATTTATCCCCACCTAACTCTTTGCTCAGTCTGCCTCTTTCTCGTAAATAGTTAATGAAGATACCACAGAAGTAAAGAACACAACAACATGTTTGATTTTGATCATTTTTATTTGTTAAACCATGAAATAGTCTGTTAACAAAGCATGTGCACACATCATTATTTATTTCACCATTGCTGAGAAATTCATGGTTAGAATTACTCAACTTCTCATACTTTGTTTCATTTCACATACAACCAAGCTTTATTTCTCTTGACATATTGGTACATTAAGTCAATATTTATCAAGCTTATTTATTGAGTCGTAATTATTAGCCCTAACATGGACAACTTCTTTTTCACTCTGAGAATAAGCATTATTAGGGTTTGTACATCCCGTGAAAGGTGACAGGGATTCCACAATCCACCTCTGCCCGGGCGACCTCAGACAGATCCTTGGCGTTGAGGATTAGGAGGTATGCTGGTCTCTGAGATCCAGGAGCTGCAACGATGGTCAGCAGCACACCTGAGGGCACAGCAGCACATAATCAGAAAACAAATCCTCACACAGATAGTGAGCTGGTGAATATATATAGTCTCTATGTCGCTGTTTACACACCATCATCCTCATCTAACGCATCAGGAGTCTGAACAAAGAGGGGCTCTGAGGGGTAGGAATCTGGTTCTTGCCACACCCAGGTCTCCTTGGTCTTCACGTTCAATTTGCAGATCTAATCCCAAGACAAAAGAAATTCAACATCAGACTATTTTACACGCTCTATAATTATAACTATAATAGAAGGTCACATTACCCTGTCTGGAATGAAATGGTTGAGACCCAAGGCATAGGCGTATGTGTAATTCTTCCCCTGGTACCTGGCGTAGTTGATCTGAGGGAACTCAAAGGCTACAAACACAAAATCAAATGGTTACATGAAAATAAATCGGCTATGTTCTAAGAAGTAATGTGTCCATATGGCCTCTCAACCAGACACATCTGTGAGTCAAAATAAGATTTTCTCTAGGATATGTGTGCAGTTCTTCTCCAGTTTAGACAGATTCCCATCAGACCTAATTAAGGGGAGGCCAGTCACAACTGTTTATCTTGACTGGGGCCGGACAAAGAACCACTGTGGCTTTTCTTTAAACAACCAAGATGGCTGCCGCTGATTTGTAATTTTCTTAATCTTCTATTGCATTAGAATTAAACAAACTGGATGGTACTACTACTGTTACATACACATAGCTAAGATTGGATGCTAATTGTCTTAATACCAAAACTCTATTATTTTAAAAGAGAAGTCATATGAATGGATGTTGGAATCAGCTGTCTAAAATGAGAAGTCGCAGGCTTATTTGCATTTAGGGTCTTGGACTGATCATGCCAGTCTTAATTCCAGAATAACACCATGAATTCATTGAATTTGCTTTGTGTGTTTGCACCTTGTCGAGGACCGGAGAATAGCACCTCAGGCTCCAACCAGATCGTCCCATCAGCGTGCATGGTAGCTGTGGCTGTGGTGTAAGGCAAACTGACCAAGTTCTTCCCCTGCTCCTCCTACATCGAATGAGTTCAGAGAAAATAACACAAGATTTAATAACTGTACAATGCAATTTGTGTCCTCTGGATGAGTATAACAGGTGACTGACCTTGTGGACGTCCAAGGGAATAACATATCTGCGGACCTCTGGCTGTGGCGCCATCATGGCTGCCTTCTTCACCTCTTCCCAGTTGGCTCTCAAGTTTGCCAACCATAGGTAGTTGTAGACAAACTCAAAGCTGTATAGAAAAACACAGCAATATGAGACAAATCTGCAGAAAGCTATAGGAAGGTTCAAATCTAAAACATTTAGCTGTTCTGTTACCCTTTCCAGCCACAGAGGTCAACAACAATGAAGCCCTGGTCCTCATAGGTGTTGATGTGGTGGAACATGCCAATGGCTGCTCCTTTGAATTTGAGATCAATGTACTCTCCTGGATCTTTCTTGGCAATGTGAAACAAAGTCTTGAAGAAATACATTGAAGGAGATATCACAAGATTGAATGAGTAGATGATATGATAGCATTAAAGTTAAAACACTTCAAATCATGAAGACATGAATCTACTCCAAGTTCTGCTTACTCCTTGGGCCTCGTTGGACTCGAAACAATCCATGTAGTTGGAGCCTCTGATGCTCCAAGCACTCAGGAACTTCAGCAGGTTGATTTTCACAGGGGTCTCCACAAAGACAAAGTAGTTTTCTGACATGCCAAAGCTGAGAATGGAGAAGTGCGAATTGTAAAATTTGACTCTCTGTGACAGCTTAAATGGATTACTGGACTCGAGTCTAAACTGGAGCATATCAATGGTCCAATGATGCTATGTTATTCATCTTAAAATCCTCTTAATAGGCTACGTTTAGTAGACTTTTTAAAGCGTTGAATATTCTCTGAAATGCTTTTTGTCCTAGATGCACAATGCATGTTTCATAGGGTTAATATGTGTAGATGAAACACCTTTAAGCCTACTGATGTCATACTCACTGAAACTCATATATTCAAATATGCTGGCAACACAGGTTTTCATCACTTAGGATATCAGAATGTCTCCACAACGGCTAAATGGCTTTTTACCTTTCAATATACATGTGAAAAACATCTGTCTTGCTTTGTTCTTTTGTAATTCAAACTGCAATGATAGCCATCCTCTATCTCTTATTGTAAGTGAATATAAATGTGACCCTGTGTATTCGCACCTGTGCACATAGGATGGCTTGAACCGCTCAGCACTGGGGAACTGCACCACCACCTTGGACTTCTCAATGGGATCCGACTTGTCTTAGAAAAGAGGCAAAGGTCATGATGTTTTAAAGTTGTATCATACTGTCATTACTACAGATAATAAACAACATTGGTGAAAATTGCTTGAAGTTTGATTCAGTAATTCTTAAAATCTAGAAAGTCATTGTGCCAAATTTTAACGATGTCATTGAAACATTGTTAACTAAAGATAACTGAACCCTGAGCAAGAAATATGTGTTATTAAACATTTTGTTAGGTTTTGAAGGGGTTAAACAGTGATTAATTTAACCCCAAATAACCACTAATGACGTGTTTTGAAAAATACAACTTTTATGTGTGGTCACTGCTCCATGTCTTGTGCATGTTTTGCTGATATTAGTCGTGATTCTGACACTGATCTAACCTTTCTGAGTGGGGGGAGTCCTGACAATGTTATAGGCCAACGATGCTCCTTTTCCCATGCAGTTGCCAATGTTGTACACAGTACCATCTTTCTCAATGTGAGGGTGGGCTGTCACTCCATTGATGTTGACATAGTTGCACAGGTCAACCTGAAAATAAAATAAAGACACTTGAGAAAAGATCAGGTTTTACATCTCATATTCTATGATCAATTTCTATTGATGTACCTTCTTCAGTGTCTCCAAGGAGTCAGTGTCAACCTTAGTTATGTAGTTGGTTTCTGTTACGGCATAATAATCCTCACCAATAGGGTAAACATTCACCAGGCAGTTGTCTGTCACTTCAACACCCTTGAAGTAAGAGAAGAACCTGCAAACAAACAAACAACGGTAGATGATGTTAAGATGTTGTTCAAACCTTCACATGATAGTAAAAAAGCATCAAAATGATGGTCGGGATGATTTGGAGAAGATTTGTGTCTTTACATATAGAGCACTACCAACCTGGAGAAAATGTTTTTGCAGGGATCAGGGTACCCAAAGGTGCCAAACTCAGTGATCACCACACGCTTCTCAGTGATGGCTCTCACATAGGCGTCTGTTCTGACAAACCTAAATCGAGGAGCAGGTAAAAAAAAGAAGGTATCACATAAAAATATTTTTCATCAAATTTAACAACCAAAATGATTAACTTGTATCTTAAATCTTAAAAAAAAATTTTTTTATAAAATACAGACATGTTTCAGCAGAAAACCCTGAGTCTACACCAGCATGAGAAAATCATTTTGCAGAGAACTGTCATTCCTCTAACATTCAATTCAATTCATTGTTACCACTTATAAATATGATCATGCTGATTATGAAATTCTCAGCACTGCTTTTTACCCAGCAATACTTATATTCAATAAGATATTGTATGCGCATAGATTTTTTTCAGCATGCCGTTAATGTAAGTTTTGCTAATATCATGAAAAACACAACACCCGTGTTGTCATTCGGGTCTTACTTTCTGAAGTAGGTGACTTGGCCGTTCTTGAAGTCAAATTTGTGCATGAGGGCCTGGCCATCAAAGAGATGATAAAAAGGTTCATCTCCAACCTCAAAAAGGCCCGGTCCCAAGCGCAGAAGACTCCCCTTGATAAATGGAGGAATCCTACCTGTATAACAAGAACACAATAAATATGAATTATACACAGTTATGAATTGTATTGTACGGGTTTGTTAAACTGCGTTATGGTGTGCTCATTCTGTGTCCAGTATAACATACTCCTTCCACTTGTACATTTGTTTAACAGTGAAATCAATACATGGCTGGCAAATAATTAATTGCCTTGAGTCTATTTGTGTCTGAAACATGCAAACAAACCTGTGACTGTAGCAGGAATAGGCTCAGCCAGCTCCTCACATGTCTCAAAGATCTTCTTGTAGCTACCAGCCGGGTGTTCAAATCTGTTGCCAAAAGTGATGACTTCAAAATTGCAGCCAAGTAATCAGACCTTATGATATATTTTCTTAGGTAGTTTAACGAATGTCTCTGTTAGTACAAGTCATTTAAAGCTAAAGTTGTGCCAGGTCATGCAGTGCATTGTTCATCATGAGCTTTAAAATCCTCCAATAAGCTGCAGACTGACTGACTGTTGAAAAGGATGTAAAAGTCACAAGATCATCTTAAAGAAAAACTATGCTACGTTACATATATCTTACATCATTAAAAAGAGCACTTTCCAAATAAAAGCAAAGCCAATCACTCAGTAAGATTAAGAAATGAAAAAAAGCTGTCTGACTTGTAACCTATCTTGAAAATCAAAAAAATAAAAAGGTTTACTGTAGAAGAGTTGTAATTCAGCAGAAACTCACCGGCTGACCATTTTGCAGTCTAGTTGTGGCACTGTGCAAAACCAACTCTTAAAGAAACCTCTGGTCACTTCAGAACCTGAAGCTTCTGGCCTCCTGGAGGATTTGGGGTATTTATCAACCCCGTCCCCCTCCAATTCGCAACAATCTGTCCTGTAAACCTTTCGCCTGGCCAATCATGTCGCACCATGAACAAGAATCCCTTTGTGCCTCTATCCTCTGTTTGATGACTCATAGCCACCCCACTGAAACCGGATTTATCGAAGGAAATATTTATTGCAGAGATCTGGCCCATGTGTGGCAACAGTACATGTGATTTTTTTTTCAATTGTGTCAATTGTTCAGGTTTGTACTTAAAGATATAGTTAAGCTGAGTCATACTAAGTGCAGTATTTTCAACAGTATAGATACAATGTGCAGGGCTGCAAATCTGCATTGAGCAAGTCTACAAAGGTGAATGTGGATTTAAATTCAGTAATCATATGGGCTCCACATGTAGAGCCAGTTTATATGACAAGGGTCAGGGTTAATATGAATTATTCCACAACTCAGGGTTTAAAAAAAAGCTGTAATACATTCATGTCTCAAACAACACAATTACTAAACTTTTATGCAGTTACATACTTTGCTTTTAGATTCTTAGAGGTGAGCATTTATCTAGTAAAGAGGATTATGACTGAATTGGCCAGAGACAAAATGTGTTTGTATTCCAACACAATTATTAAATCAAGTCTTTACTAATAAGTATAAAATCTATTGTGAAATGAAAAACAAATCAGAGAGCCTTCACTGCCTCTGCTATTTTAAGCATTCTTGTACAACATGCACACACTGCTATTGGAGGGAAAGTGGCCTGTTCTTTGGTGTGATTACAAAAAGCCTTAACTTGCTTGTCTCAGTGCAACTATAATCTAGCTGGAGGGATTAAGCTCTGCGTAGCCTTAAGACAACCACTGCATTGTTTCTTATGGGAAAAAACACAATTAGAAGGGAGAGTTTCACCAGACGTGGTTTTGTCAGAGGCAGGGTTGTGATGTGGCGCCACCAGCCAGCCAACACATGTGGACTAACCAACTTTAATAAGCATTATACAACAGTTGATGTGATATCTATTAATTAGGAATTCAAATATCATTTATTGGGGGGTGGATTTTCATTTTGGTTCTGCATCAGACTGTCAAATGTTTACCTAAAAATATTTGCACATGTATTAAACAAACTGTAATCACTTCCTGTCCTTCTACAATGATGTAATAACAAAAACAATTCAATCTCTGCAAGTCATCTAGCTGATTCAAGACAATATCCCAAGCACATCACCAGTGGACAACTTTTACTACTTTTTCGAAGTGATTTTTGGAGCTAGTGATAGACTAATTGTGCATATTCAGTCAACTGAACGATGGAAATCAAAGCTTCAAAGAGGAAAAAAAAACAGGTTGGCAGGTATGAGCCGAGTCTTAAACACGACTAGCTGACAATTATAGTCATGCTACTTAAAAAAATCAAAAGGAAGATTAGACGTAAAGATATGAGTTTTGACTGTTTTATCCCACTTGAAAAGAAAGCCAAACGATGCATAAAGCAGTGTAATATGAGGAGAGAAATGATGCCCACAGATGATGATCATCATGTGAGTGCAGCCTACTAATGTTAGATAGGCAAAGATAATATTTTAAAATAAGAATTTATTTATTTTATTAATAAATGTATCTTCCTTACATGCACTCTGTGAGTAGTTACACACATTAAGATTTTTTTCTATTAGTCCACTGTACAGCTCCTACATTGCACCTTTTGTGTTATTTATCTTTATTTTTTATATTTTATTTTTTTAAATTCTATTGTATATATTGCAATAGCTTCTTATACTGTATTATTTAAGTTGTTGCTAGTTCTGCGTTATTTCCTTGTTAATTGTTTAGCACCAATACACACACGTGTAAATGTACTTGGCAATAAACCCCGATTCTGATTCTGATTTCTCTGCCTTTCTGAGGTTCTGCTGCATTTTACATCACTTATCAAAGTGGAGGGGAGCCACCTGGTGGTTCAACTTTTCGCTTTTTGGAACTTTTCGCGTCTCATGTTTCTCAGGAGCTGGTGGGTGTGTGTGTGTGTGTGTGTGTGTGTGACTCCATTGATAATAATATAATACCGATCGATTAGAAAAGTATCGGGTTCCCGTTTGTTTGTGTCTATTTAACATTAAACTGACCGTCTTTTTGTTCCCCTGACATGTGACGACACGTTTGTCTAAAGTCAGCTTTAAACAAGACTTCTATAGTTTTGTTTTATTCTGTCTTCATGTGACGTCTGACTGCGTCGATGTGTGGAATATATAAACGATGCCAAACCGTGGCAAACATTTTTAACTAAGTTCACGTTAGTGGCACAAAACACAGCCCGACTCTACGCATGCGCAACTTGTAGAGGGGGTACTACAATATGGCGGCGTCTCGTTACAATGTAGATGTATCCTAAGCTAACTTATAGTTTGCAAATTACTCGTAAACACGCGTGTTAAAACCCAGCAGAAAAACGTTACTTTTACTTTAAAGTTGATTTATTAACGGTACGGTTGCTGTGTAAACGAGCTTGAATCCGGGACAATGAGTTACACCACGAAGGTGGTCCAGGTGACGAATGTGTCTCCTAGCACAACATCAGAGCAGATGAGAACACTGTTCGGCTTTCTGGGAACCATCGAGGAGCTAAAGTTATTTCCACCAGAGTGAGTTGACTTTTACGTTTGGTGTTTTCGAATTCACTTTAATGGTTATGTTTTTTGAAGATTCACTGCATTGTTTCTCAAACTAATCTGGCAGACTTTAGTAGGAAAGGAAACGTAGGCCTTCACTCGCTAACAGTGACTGAACACTACTAACAAGACCAACAACAACATGCTGCGTTCAAAGACGACTAATGTTTCAGGGGAGGGTTGAAAAAAATCTTTTTAATTAAAGAAATATACGGAAGGCTTGATTAAAATCAAATGGACTTTGTTAAATGGAAGCCAAATACATGAGTAGACTTGATTTGCAAAGAACACGAGGTGTTTTTGTTATGCAATTGTGAAATCTTTCTTAAGAAAGTCCAGGAAAGGCTCCTAGTTATCTATATCAAACCTAATGAAGTATATATATATATTATTTATATGTGGTTTAAGACGCATGATATATCACCATTATGGGACACGTCAGAATAATATGCAATATGATCACTCTTACAATTTAAAAGAGACCACAATGAGGTCTTAAGTAGTTAAAACCTGTTTTTTTTTTTTTCATGGGGGCAATGTCACAACCCTGCCCAGTGTCACAGATATACAGTTGTTATACTCAGGCAGTATTTTTTGTGGATATCTTCATCTGCAGGTTGATTCTTAAAGCACAAGGATATATAAAACCCACATTTTGTGACGGGACAAAAACAGAATTGTTCAGTCAATTGTGCAGAATTTTTTTTTTTTTTGTTATTGACTTTTTTTTTTTTGTCCTTCCTCAATAGTGATTCTCAAATGCCTGTGACGTCGCGGGTGTGCTTTGTGAAGTTCCATGAGCCGGAGTCTGTCGGAGTGTCTCAACATCTGACTAACACCGTGTTTGTGGACAGAGCATTGATCGTGGTGCCGTTTGCAGAAGGTTTGTTCTGTTACTTTTCCCTGGGATGAATGGGCCTTATTGACTGAATGGCATGACTATGAAATAGTGAAAATGTTAAAATATTGAAAGGATATCATCCATCTCATTTGTGGACTGCTCAAGTCATCTCACGTCAGTGCTTTTTTCATGTACTTATTTGAATGATATTTGAATGATACAGGCATTGCCATTCACTCCCACTGTCTATTTTTGATCGTGCCTAAAATAACAATATGTTCTGTATGTAAAAAGTGCAGTTTACCAATATCTACAGCAGAGACAAGGAGGTAAACAATCCCAAGCTGTGGCATCACAACTCCAAATTGAAAAGTAAAGTTATTTCAACTTTTAACCATTTACATTTAATTTTTCCCCATTTTGGACTACCCTCTGTTAAACTTCTCTTGTTATTTGTCTGTGTATATGTGTGTGTGTATGTGTGTGTATGACTTTTGTAGTGGAGAAGGCTAAAGCAGCCCCCTTCTTGATGGCTGAAAGCGGTCCTCTGCCTGCCATCAGGGGATTGTAGACATTTGCAAAGGCCAGCAAGCATTCAAGCCCCACCCCACTTTTTTGTGTCCCCTTCTCTTTCTCTGCTTTCTCTTTCTCTGTGTGTCTAATTAATTTCTTCTAGGAGGTTCATTTGAGAGTGTAATTGTCCGATTTCAGGGACATACTTTCAAACACTGTAACACGTTCAGATGCTGCGTTTGATTTCTTTTTAAGGCTGAAATATTAGTCCTTATTGGAGAAAGCTCGTAATCTTCCTGATTTAGAGAGGCCATCAAATCCCATGAAAAGACCGACAGAGCACTTCTGTTCAAAGCTTTTAAAAGCACACCAGTGAGCAATAATGCTACACTTGGTGACTTGTTTGTTCAATGTTTTGATAGCTAACTGTACTGCAACAAAATTGTTGTGTTGCTAAAAGAACAACAGTTCCCAGTTTTTTATGATCTTTTTACAAAAATAAAAAGGATATTTATGACTTTATTTTTTTTGAAGCTGTAATAAAGTAGTAATAAATGACATGGCTTCTGAAAGCCACAAATGAGGGTATCAAAGTCAGAAAGAATTGAGAAATGGACTTCCATATTGCTGGTTTTGGTCTTTTCAAAGGATTTGACACCAGTAGGAAAAAATGAACATGAACAACATTGTTTAAAGAAATGGGTAAGTGAACTTACAAAAAGTAATGGGTATACAAATATCTGATACAAAGGCCAAGAAGCAGACACTGCACATGTACTTACTCTTAACAATGTCTAAGAAGCTAACTCAACAAAAGGAACTCTAGTGTTCTTGCTAATCCTTTCCTATCTTTGAGTTATCTAGGATGCCCGTTCGACATGTTGGTTGAATAAATTCTCTTTAACAGTGGTCTTCTTTTGTTGTTGTGTTTTACAGTTCTTTTTCCTGGCTCAGCCAGTCCTGT